TAGTCACAAAAATCGACTAATAAATCCGCCTAATCGGATTCCCACAATTAAAACGAAGCTAACAACAAATCTATATTACCAAATCCTTTTACAAAAATCTATCAAAACATTTAAGATATAGATTGCATCAAAATCCTAACAGTCTTCCATCCCTCCCTACTTCGACAGTCATTTAAAACGAAACCAAATTCATATTTGAAATATATATGTAGAAAAATATGAAATAAAAGACCAAGTTACCGCAATACTCAACCGTCTTGGCAGCCACCCTAAGCTAATGTTGAGTCACTTGCTTTTAATCTTAATTGCATGCATTATGCATCCATACGTCAACCTAGAAGTTGTATGTATTTGTTTGTTTGTGACACTTTATTATACAGTAAAATTATAGGAAAAGACGTTCTTAGAAAAGAGTATTCGTATAGTACAGATATTATTCATTAATATTGCCACATTACTTTTATATGATTCCGCTCGCCTCTGTAACTATTTTGCAGAATAAATTATTCAGTTTGACAGATGAAACACTCATCTAACGATCACATCTATTAAGCTACTATAGTTTTTTTTTTTTTAATTATAAATATGCGACAACATCTACAAATGTAATTATAAATATGTATCAACAACTATTTGGAATACTTGAGTTTATAACTAAGTATTCATACTCTGAATCAATAGAAACAATACCGGTACACTGGGGCTAAAAATATTGTCTAGACCCAAATATTGCTTCGGAACAAACAAGAAAAGATAAACTCTCGCCGTATACAAATAATATGAAAACTTAAACTATTTACGAAATCACTATGTTAAAAATGCACCAATAATTAAAGATTTTATCCCAGAAAAAATACCGACTTCAATTGTGACAAAACCAGTCATAAACTTAAACTATTCGACTTATTTTGATAACACTATAGAACCAATCTGTAAGTATATCCTTTCAGATAAAAACAATTTTCCAAATCGGTTTAGAATTGACGAAGTTATGAATTTACAAACATAAATAAAAAGAAAATAAAAATACGACTGAATAGAGAACCTCCTTCTTTTTGAAGTTGGTTGATAAAATAGTGAACTATTAACCTACACACCATTCGCTGTAAACTATAAATAAAGTAGCAAACAGTGATTTCATAGAACTAGACTAAGAGAATCCTTAGTCATTTTTTTTTTATTTTAATTAGAATAATTGGTATTTCAGATATTATTTTATATGCTTTAATTTTGTTATTCTTACTACAAAGTAGCACTGTACTTAGTAGACATTAAAGCAGTTTTTTACTTGTGTATTTTTTCGAATGATATTAAGATTTCATTCGAAGCGCTTAAAACTAATCAATCTATAATATCTAGGAATGTAATACTTCATTATAATATTGTGTTTATTCATCCAGTGAATGTTTTCGAAGTAAACTATGCGGAATGTTTTTAGGGCGCGCATAACTTAATAATTAAAGCCATATTTCATCTGGCCGTTGTTAAAACTTCCTTACGTACAACCCACCTTTCGTTTATTAATTTAATACGAATATCAATTACATACCTTGTAAAGTATTTCGTAAGAATTTTATTTTCATTTAACTCAAAATGTATTCGCAGAATGCAATTGATCTTTGCGTTTCATTATTTAAAGATATCCCAAGGGGAATCGTCACATAGATTCTTACAATACCTTCACGAAATTTCTTTCACAACATACTTGGATTATGAATTGTAGAAATTTTACATACCTTTTATAAAAATTATTGCTTACAATGAGAGCTGCATTCAAAATATTTTGGTAGAATGGTCAACTGTGACCCTTGAACGATTGCATTACCAAGCATTAGTCTCGTTACGGAACCTTGTAACATAAAATGTTGAGTGACAATGTTCAGTAATTTAACTATCATATCTTATTATAAAACCTTTCAAACTGAACTAGCGAACTAGTGAGTAGTACAATTAATAACTGCAATACACGCCGATGACTATATATGATGACTATTGACAACTTTATATGTTCTCCATTTATAAAACTTTTGATCACATTTAAAATCAAATACGATTATATATTACGAAAGCGTGGACTTTATGCCTTAATATCATTCTTTCACAATCAACCTTATTCTCATATTTTGGCTACCTTTTATAAGTACATAGTATATGTACTTGTTCAAGATTTCTCCATCCGGTCTTTTGTTTGTTTCTCTTAGTCAATACTTATGATGCTCAATGGTCATTACAATTGGTTCATAGTCTATCATCGTTCTCTCTTTAATTTTTGTACCAATTGGCCATCCAACCCAGATTTCCAGACTGAAGAACTGACAAGTACTCTATAACTTCAATACCAATGCGTCCTTTTTATTTCAATTTTGTAAAACATACACAAATTTTAATATTTAGGTGCTTTAATTATTCAATGTAGTTTAAAACCAAATTTACGCGTCTGCGGATGTACTGAAATATTATACTGAATCCCATGGGAACGGCAAACGGAAGGGTATTCGCTATTTTAGGTAAATGTCCCGGTAAATAGTGGAGAATGCTAAATTCCGCGCTACTAAAATTACATACATGCTAATTTAAACAACATATAGTATTGTTACATTACACACAATACTTTTTTTGCCACGTCTGTATAATTGTGTACTTAAGAGTGTATTTCTTCATTGGTAGTAGGTACTCATATTTAGAGGATACTCTTGCTAATCACTAAAGCTCTATATTAAAAAAAAAACATAATTGCAGGAATTTGTGGGTGAAAACAATATATTATATAATAAATATTTAGATTGTACAAGTATATTACTTGATGTTACTACTTAATATTACTTATATACCAGCCCAAAAATAGTAGATATTACCAAGATAAACAATAAACTGTACGTTTATATAAATATTTTAAATCAGCACATGTTTCTGAAATAGTCATTAAAACTGGATTAAAAATCTATGGTAGGTATTAGACTATCTCCACTATCACTAACGAAGTAAATCTATATAGGTAAATACCTACGTATTTACTTGCTTACGGCAGCCGGTAATTTCCGTTATCTGGCGGTCGACGGTCGCGCACACAACTCTAGCAGAGCTTCGTTAAAATGCACCGCGCCGGATGTAAAACGCCAATGTGCTACACGACACAGGAAAAAAAATATTCCACACTGCTCAGCATTTTTAAATTTTAATCCGAACTTCACAAGTTTGCATTTTACTCTTTCATTATGTTTTTTCATATGTATGGTAGGTATATATCAAGTTATATTACGTTTAGCGTTTGAAATTTATATTGTCAGGAACGTAATTGTATTTATTGCTAGCTATAACTGTGTCAGCAACATTAATAAGACACATGAAACAACGCTGTATTGAGTGAAACCTTTTTACCAAAGGAATTGATTCGATAAACAGCAAAAAGTTATTATTAGTACCCTAGTCCATATTCTTATGCCAATGTCATCATCTACTAACTTGACAATTAGTTTCACAAATGGAACAGTCCTTTAAAAGGATACTTATGATTTCGACTTCACTTTGTATATGTTAAACCAAATAAAATGTCACCATTCTAAAGTGGTCAAAATCTGTCTACTAGTTTTTGCGTGATGCGTGCTCAAACATGTTCTATTTATAATTTTATTATTATGTATTGATATATATAAGTAGATAATCTATAATTAAATACATGTACTGATGTCGCAATGTTGTAAATTGTATCAAAATAATTAATTTGCACTTTTTAGTACTTCACATGTAAAAATATTTACCTAATTGTCCACATAGTAAATTATATTTTAATATATAATAATATAGTCAATCCTACAATTCGCAATATTTTTACCATTTTATCTTATCAATGACAGAATGTAAGGAAAACTTTATTCTTCTTAGAACTATTATTCATATGTGCTTACATCTAAGATATAAATGTTGTATTCTTCAGAAACAAATTATTGCTACTATTTTATATGTGGTATAGCATTTATTTATTTGTTGGTTACCTTTTGACACCTTACGGTTCAACTGATCCTCATTAAATTTGGCATACACGTAGTATTTGGGATGGAAAACACATAAGCTACTTTATATCACAGTCACGTGGACCAAGTAAAATTAGTATAAAATATTCACGATTAAGTACATTACAAATTACAAACATCAATATATATTTAACTAAAGTGCATTCACTTCACACCGTTCGTTTATTCCAACAGGGTCGGCAAGAAAAGGTGTTCTCCCTTATTTTTCTTGTTCCCAACTCTGAACTTTGAATTCGTCATGAATAATTTAAGACATTTTTTATCATGAATACATTAACCTTTAGTTTATGGACAATGAGCGTATTGATTATACTCTTAATTTGCTCTTATTCATAGCCGCTTCAAAAAATATTACTAATTTCTGTATAGTTGAATAAGTACGGTATCGTCTCGCTAAATCTTCTCATTGTATTCGCATCACGTACGGAGTTATTTGGTATTGTATGGCTGCTATAGAATAATTTAAACTGAATGGCGCTTGTTGCTTTTGACAAAAGTTGGACCTTCGAAATCATATAGCAAATAAGTACCTAAGACTAGATTAAAATTATATTAAATAAATACAAGATGGCGAAGAATTTCATCGTATATACTGGTTTATTTAAATAATGCACTTAGTAGTAGTAATTAACTTAGCACTTGTATAGTACGTTTGTAATTTGACCTACTTCTCAATTCGACTTACAATTTTTTATGCATATATTAAATATTTTCATAATTTATAAACCTACTTAGACGGATTTTTTCTGCCATTAATAAGTTCGCCGTCCCGTTAATTTGTTATAATTTTGTCATAATGACAAATTAGTATAGAACCAAGCCTAGAAGAGGGTTTTTATAATACTAAATTATAACTTAAACTTATCAACCACTGATAATTTTGATAAACTACTATTTGTAGCTAACGGACGTAACTGTAATGTTGTTTGAATTCAGAATAGTTTAAAAACGAATGATATTCTTACACAGGTCACGTTGGTGGTTGCGGCATCACTGATGAGGTGGTACAGTGGATGGAACGCATACAAAACTCGGGAGTAGATGACGATCCGCCGACATCTCCCACCACCACACCACCGCCATCCGCATCACCGCCTCACCACACATCATCCCCTCACCATATACCCGGGTCTTCGCCGCCGCATCCAAACAGTCTACGGGATGATCCACCAAGGTAAAGGAATAAAATCTGCAAAAAGATTTCTTCAGAGACAGTAACGCGGCCATGATACCTCTAAGAATCTGAGCGTATGATGGATGGTTGGCAGACAAAATTTTCCTTTGTATAACTTACGTTGTTGTATAGAAGTGGCATCTAATTTATGGTTTTTGTTATGACCATTTTAGTATGCTAAAAAATATTTCTCGTCGGGCTCATAAACTTAAAGATACAAGATATAGGAAGGAAATTTAAATTTTATTTTTAAATATAGAAAAATCTTCCTTGTCTACGCAACCCATACTAAGATAGATTGTGAGATTCGCCTAAATAGATAAATAAATACATATCTACTTCTTAGCTGTTTCTACTGTGAAAAGGCATGCGTTATGGAAAAATCTAATATATCTATATATCTAATATAATATCTAGTAACCCTATATATAGCATAACACTATTTTCGCTGAAATGATAACATATAAGGGATATAGTTTATGCTGTAATGTCTATAATGTTATTCATGCGAATATAGAAGGTGAGGGATGGACAGTAGTATACCTCCTAAAATATCTTCAAAGCCTAACTGCGGTTGCCAACTCGCCTGCCAAGCATATTCAGCAATGGACAGCTAAGGGCTGATATGATGATGATGATGATGTTTATATAAAAAAATCTCTCCTCGATACGCACTCACAAACGAATTTTCCTTGCCTTGAAAACAGTTTCCAAGAAGATTCGCTGAGGTAATAAACTTCGAGCCTGGACCATAATTTAGACTTCGCGACAGTCCCCGCCAAAGGGGATTACTTCTGCAGAGCTCTCGACTATACCGTGCACTAACTTGGTTATTCGCTGAATTTCTCAGCATGTTTTAAAGCCGTTTAAATTTCTCTGAAAGGCATTATGCATGAACAAACTTCGTTATGGCGCGTTTTACGTAAACATTACCTGTCACAACAACTATCATGAGTTTATACCCATGATACTTGTTGTGACAGAGGACCATTATGAAATAATTGTTATGACGATTATTTCTTATTACATTTATAAATAACTGGCTATATGCCGCGGCTTTGCCCGCGTGTATTAGTAATTATATAAAGTATCCTATGTGCTAAGTCAGGATATAATCTATCCTTGTCCCAAATTTCATTCGAATCCATTTACTAGTTTTGGCATGAAAAAGTAACACACCATGCATCAATCCAACAAATTTTCGCATTTATTATATTAATAAATAGGACGGTTATCATGAATATTATAAATACTAGAAAAGTCTATATATTTGTTAGTATGTGTAATGAAATTAAGGAACCAATTTAATTGGATACTGCCAAAGTAGTTTAAAAGTTTCGTATACCAAATTATTTCTACGTATAAAATTTCTGGGATAATCTGGCTTATTCTTTAGATATAAAAAGTAAAGCAAAATTACAGATTAATTGATATGGACAGAGCACAATTAAATTAGAAGTCTCGATTTTTATTTTTTTTTATTTTGCGACTCTTCGGTATTTCATTACACCTTTAAAAAATACTTTAAATAACCGCACAAGAACAATAGAATCAGTTCCATGCGGGTATAATAGCTGTAGCAAACAGCTAGTTTCTTATTTAAAGATAAATGTTCTGAGTGATCTGTCTACTACATTGCAAAAACTAGAAATTCATTTTTATCACATAAATATTAAAAATATTTATATCAAACATCTATTAAGAAAGGTTTTAAAATATACTGCGTAGACAGAAGTTATTAGGTTCTGCGCGGGTGAATTACGCAGTCTATTTATATATTTAATTCATATTCTTTTTTTTTTTTAAAGAATTTAAGATATTTCTTGTCGGGGCAAGTAAGCCTTGTATAACTTGAAACTATTAATTCTTTTATAAATATCCGATTGGTCTGTCTATTGATAACTCTATTCAAGAATATCAATTTTCATCCTACATTGAGATAAATTATTTGTATAAATTTTTAAATATTCAGCTAATATTAAATCTATATTGTATTTTAAAAGGCACATTAAACCGTTCCCGGCTATAATCGCCCCATTTAGATTACAATCTTAAAACATTATAGACTAAGTTGGACCTGATATCAAAGTAACGCGGGCTGTGAAGGTCCGATATCGCTTTGTGTAAAAGGTGAAATAATAGATCTGTCGCCGTGTCGTTCAGATTAGTTTGTTTTATGCTTTACTGGATTGATTTTGAAGAATACATAACTGCAGTTCGCAATCCCACGATCCAAAGCCGGTCTCGCCCTCTGTATTTTTAAATTCATGTTTGAATAACTTTAAAAGAATTGTCATATTTACTTTATACTTTAAATGGCAAATAAAATCGTCACCGAAATCTTTATGTACGATGAAGGCGACATGAAGTCTGTTTTGATACTAGAGGGCGCCACTCTTACATTATTAGTTAACTGATTGAAAGGTAAACGTAAGCATAATTTACATCACAGATTACTGTGACCCCCATGGTACTAACCAAACGTTTCCACCCTTAAAAAATTATTTCTCTAATGTCTGCGATATTCAGAAAACGAATGCAAAAAAAAATAATTTAACGTTTGCTGGAACAAAAACAAAAGAATTATTTTCGTATTGAATTGCATATATTAAATAAATAAATAATAACTAAATATTAAAATAAAAAATCAAATATAACAAAAGATGTTCAGAATCCAAAATATATTTTATTTTTCCAGGCATTGGGATTATCCCCATCACAATAAGTATTCGCGAAGTGCGAACACGGGCGAACATTCACGCACGAGGCGAGCGACGCTCGACAACCGCAACACTTGTTCGTTGTACATACAAACAGACCCTCTGATTTGGCGGCACGTGAGGGAAGGGTTTCCTGAAGTAAGTATTACAATATACAAAATCGTGACACAGACTGTCCTGCAGAAATTTTATATCATTTAATATACCTATAATTTTACATAAATTTATGTTTTATCTCAATCGTTTCATTAAATCTAGACATTTTTGTTATAGTCTACATGATTATAAAGTATATCAGAACCTTTGTCTTTTCCATTCTTCCAAACACTTTTTCTCCTAAATATCAGTCATCATTCACAAAAGTCGTTGTTACTATAAAACGTATAAATATAATTATATATAATTAACGTAAATATTTAACGAAAATATCTTCTATATCATTATCTATATCTATCTTCACGCCAAAACTCTTGCCAGGTGAACAGTTTGCCAAAATTCTGTATCCAATTCACTTGCTTCATCCAATTTCATAACTCATCTCAAGCATGCGCGCTAGTTTTAGAAACATAATCTATCTATTCATTGTAGGATAGTTCATATTTAGATCTCCTCCGATATCTGCGTCCTTCCACTTTTGTATTATATATATTTTTATCATATATTTAATTAATAATGCCGATGTTTCAATTTCTAGAAATTTTATTCCTAATTTTGGTATCTACCATATTGCAGCATCGAGACCCTACAAAACGTACAGAAGTGGATATGAAAACTCGCGAGGAGATCCTGTCGCTCATCTCACACCACGTCACAGCGGTCAACTACATCTACAGGGACACCAAATTCGATGGCCGGATGGTGCATAGGAATATCAAGTTTGAAGTCCAAAGGATTAAAGTAGGTTTTTAATTCACGCTTCATGATCATTTAGTTATTTATTCTGAACTGCTTAATATAGACACCTGTAAACTGCTATAAGAAACGATCCAGCCCCCCTAGTGATAAACTAATCGAATCCATAAATATGTTTTTATTACCATATGCATACGACAAAACGAGACCGCAGCATTCGGCATCCTCTTCTTCTTCATGTGCGCAATAACGAAAACGTATCTATTGATAGATTCGTTTCTCACTTGTCTACGGAGCTTTACCATCTGCATACACTGCGTCTCCGCCACATATTCTTAATATCATCGTTTCAGCTACTGATGAGCGTTCAACACTGCATTTACGTGTCTTTACGCTGACTATGAATCTTATTATTACATTGCTGTTAGAAATTGTTAATTTTTATCAAATTCAATAACTTTTCCATTGATCTCGGAGCTACATTTGTATCCTACAGACTGTCATTATTTTTAACCATTATGTTACCGCTCCTAAATACTCGTAGGGCATTTCCTTCATTACATTCTACAATTTGACATACCTCAGGGGACTCGTTACGTTATCTCATCAACGTTACCTTTAGCTATTGCATGAACCACGTCGGTTAGTTTTAGTTGGTAAACTTGTGCAAACATAACGCAATACAGTGTTTCCATATCTATATACAATATATTAACAGATATATACGTATAATTGACAGGGGTCGGCCTTATAGATACCGGTAAGGAATAGATCACCCCTTCTTTTCCCGTGGGTGTCGTAAGAGGCGACTAAGGAAACTTATAGTAGAGCAGCGTCCTTCTTAATACATCACCAAAAGCCAAACTGTGGTTGCCAGCCTGCCTGCCAAGGGTGGCAACTACTGGCAAAATCCTCCTTATGTGGGAGGCTATGTTCAGCAGTGAACAGTTAACGGTTGATACAACAATAAATAGGGGTCTTTTCATAGAATTGTAATCTTACCTGCACTATCGTATACGCTGGCGGAGTACCAATGAGAGATGATAGATGAGAATAAAAGTAGGTCAGTTGGCCCCAATATTTCCAGGGGACTAAGTAGAGGCCGACCTGACCCCAGCATTAATATTATAATTTTTTCTTTTTTGAATGATAATCCTATCTGCACTAACAGTTTTTGCTAACGTGGTACTAATAGGGGGAAAGGGATTGTTAGTAATGGAGACTGAGAATCCCATTGCTAGCAATATACCCAACTAGGTCAACCTCCTCGCGGTTCTCCCTTGAAACTATCATGGTTAATTCCTGTTGAATTCATCATGATGGGCTAACTGGCCTGTTTTCATTCTCATCGATCACCCTTCACTGGTGCTCCGCCAGCGTATCCCGTTAGCGCAGGCGGGGTTACCATACTATTTTCACCTATCAAAAAAAAAAAAAAAAAAAAAACGGTACTAATCAACAAGTAGATGACACTTATTGATATTTTTTTATGTCGTTTTTTTACGTCATTCACTATTTTCCTTTTCCTCCTCAACTTGCTGTTTTTTAATAAACATTTAATTATAATGTCCTTTAGAATGGTCCTCGCGGCGACCACAACCCTTTCTATCTAACCTTGTACAGATTTTTGCGTATAATTATTTTCCACACCGTGAAATTAATTTAGCTTTACCTTCATAGTCTTCTCTTTGTCCTATTGTCTAGATTCGATTAATATATTTTCCTTTTCCACTTTTTCTTTCCTTATATTTTCTTTTTTTTTTGTAATAAAATATCCAATTTGTACACACAGATCGATGATGACTCATTTTGCGTCACGCATCAATACGACAGGAACCAGTTCTGTCATGAAAACATCGATGTATCCAACTTCTTAAACCTGCACTCGCTCGGCAACCACGAGGACTTCTGCCTGGCCTACGTGTTCACATACAGAGACTTCACGGGAGGAACTCTAGGTATGTACGATTTCTGTGACTTTTTAAATTAATATTAATGCAGGCTACAGTCCTCCCATCGTAAATCTTAACATACGTAACGGGAATCTATAGTTTTCCAAAAAATAGTACGTTACGAATATAAACTTATAAAACACGCTCTAATTCAACCAATCCAAATAATAGTTGTATTCCTTTTTATGTACAAGATTTCTTGTATTTATAATAAAATAATTTAGGATAGTAATGATTATAATGTAAGATTACGATTATGGACTTGTTATTACAACATTGCCTCTTACTAAATGAACCCCGTAGTAGATTAATAATGATATTTGTATCACATTGTCTCATTTCTAAGTGAAATCGTACTTTCTCTATTTTTGGAAAGCAAGTTTTTAGAAGAACCTCTTTTCAATAATAAAATTCAGAAATTAAGAAATATGAATTTATTTATTTTTTCAATTAAAACCCAAATAATATAGGTATAATTAAAAGCTTTGCTTCATTCATATTCATTACTGAGACATGATACCACAGACTGACATATAAAGATTTAATCTTATAACGTAACCTTTTGCGTCGAGAGCTAGTCAACAGGATCGATGCGAACTTGTGAATTCCTTCATCACACCGAAGCATTTCAGGGTCATGTTCAATTCATCGCGAAACCCGAAAATATTTAACCAGGACGCGTCAACAGTTGCTACTCGGGCGGAAGTAATCGCCATTCCAAGTGATGCGTCACTACAGCCTCGAGTGCCACGCAACTACAGATGGGCAAAGCACCGGGTTTAAACCCGGTGCTTTGGTAAAAACCCAATAAACACCCATAAACTCCCATAATCACCCAAAAAAATAGGTTTTTACGTATTTTTTTGAAAATATGTAAGTAATACCAATAAATTATTTTTATAAATTGTATTGATCAATTCTACAATATTAAATAAAACGTTAACTAATAATATTTCAGGAAATTTTAAAAATCTATATATAATAAAATGAAAGTAATTAATTTTCAGTGTTTTCATGTTGCAGTTGATCAACATGTTGGCCTTTTGCTTCCCGTAGATACCTTTAAATTTCTTCATAACACCTCGTTCGCACACATGGCCGTATATATTTAAATTCTTGAGCCACTAACAGTCCGAAATACTCATTTCTTTTATCCTCTTCTCCATAAATTAAGCATTTAGAACAGTTTGTTTCTTCTTTCAGTAAATTTTCTTTTACTTTATCCTCGTTTTTTTCTTTGTTGCGACGACGCTGGGTAAATCATCTGGACACTGGGTCTCACTATCGCCAAATATATTTGGAGATCGGCTTCGGCTACGGCTTGGCAGACATTTTTTTCTTTCTACAATTTTAAATTAAATTTATTAGAATAAATGCTTCGAACACACGCGATCTAAGTACCTTTTGTGTTTATTATACCTTACCTACCTAGGTATAAAAAGAGTACTTACGTAGATTTTTATTAACTGTTTTATACGAAGATCTTGATCTCTCAAATTAGCATCCATTTTACTTCCAGTGATTATCAACTAAATTAATAATCCACAAAGTATTAAATAACGTTTTTATGAAATATTTAGCACAAAAACAATACCCTTTAAATATCGATCGTCAGTAACTGTGGCTGACTTACCTATATTCTAGCAAGCAGGACTGCCAGATGTGAAGGGGAAATCCCCAATAAATTGTTGCATGTGACTGATGATGTGAGCATGTTCGTTTCATAATAAAAATGTTGCCAGGTAACCAAAAAGTCGTATGTTTTTGTGCGAATTACGATCATAATCTTTACGATCGTACATTAAAAAATAGACAAATAATAGTATGAGTACGATTTAAATCGTATATCTGTCAACCCTGCTAGCAAGACAGCGACAAAATCACGTTGCATAACAATGTAGCCCAAGCTTATATCTTATGAAATATATGGAAGAGATACGGACTTAGAAAAAACAGAAATGTTGTTCTTTGTGGAAGTCATTGATGAAATTCTATGTATTTTAGCCCGCAAACTTTCTTCAAACAAAAACAGCGCCATCTAGTATCGAGTTCTGTAATTATCTCTTTGTTTATGGATTTGAAGTAAGACCGCCACGCATGCAATACATTATGACTGGGGATTCCCCTATTCGTCGACGCTGAATATGAGGCGACGACAATCACTGTCAAACGTGTTCACTATTACTCTGACTCTGGTAACGTGACTTCCTGGTAACGTGTTAGGTAGGAAAAGCAGTAAAAAAGTGCATATTAAGGGAGCAGATTTGAAATAATATTTATACTTAACAAGAAATAATTAAAGGTAAGTGGATTTTTGAATGATACAATTATATCATGATCACTTAACAATTTTAACTTAAAATTAGATGTATTATTACAAGCTTTTATTTAGCTTGCGTTATGTAAATAAAAGTATGTAGGTATGTTCGTATGTTGATGCAATTATCCTCAATCCTCAACCGACTGGGATAAAATTTTCCATACACGTTTATTTTGGATGATAGTGCATAGTTAGCTGAGAGTCGTCATTGGATAATAATGGTGGATAGCCTAAGATGTGTACTAGATATTTATTTTTAACATAATATGCGTAAGTACCTAATCGAATTAAAGAAGTTGCTGAGAAAAATACAGAACAATACGATAATAAACTAGCGTCTGCGTTTAATCCTCCGAGGAGATGTAATTTTACAAAGGTTTTTTGTATTTATTTTATTATTTTTTTAATAAATTTATTGTAAATAACAAGAAATAATCATTGTAAAAAAATAGGCACTCTATTGTTGAATTTTCGTCAGACCAACTAATCATCGTTCATTTTTTAGGTTCAATGGGGAGACCTAAAGATTTACGCATATGGGAGCACTACCGTACTTTACCAAACAAGTCTGTTTCTTGCAAGCTTTGTAATAAGGTCTACAAATTCAGTAATGCTGCCAAAATGCTTCAACATCTTATCACTTGTCCAAAATCTCCAGAAACATTAAAAGACTCTATGAAACTTATAAAAGATAGCTCGTCCAAAACCAAAATGTCTGGACTGTCAGAGATAGAGACAAATGATTCTTTTATAAGCCCCTCGTCGTCTGCTAACACTACAATAAATGCTGAGTTTCAAGACACCGATGATCATATAAAAACAGAATTAGCGAGAGCTATATTTGTAACAGGGACGCCATTATCGATGGTGCAACATCCTTTATGGATACAATTTTTCGAAAAATTGCAACCAAAATTTAAAATACCTTCACGTAAAGCTTTAGCGACAAAATACTTAGATAAAATATATAGAGAAATGCGTTTTGAGTTAAATGAGGAACTAAATGCTTGTAGTTACTTACACCTTCAGTGCGATGGCTGGTCTAATTTAAGAAATGAAGGAATAATAAACTTTCTTATATCAAAATCTCAACCTGCATACGTTAAAAGTTTGAATACAGAAAGTAATCCTCACACTAGTGAATACCTTAGCCAAGAAGTTGAAAAAGTAATGAAAGTGTATGGAGCAAATAAGTTTCTTGTACTTATTGGCGATAACGCTAGAAATATACAAAAGGCATTCGAATTAACAAAACTCAAATATCCACATGTTGTTCCTCTCGGTTGCTGTGCACATATCCTTAACTTGTTGTGCCAAGATATTGTAAAGATACAAGAAGTAACTGTGTTTATTATGCAAGCCATAAATATAATAAAAACTGTTAAAAGGAGTCAACGATTAAGTTCCTTGTTGATAAAATCAAGGCAGGGTGAAGATTCTACACAAACACTAAAATTGCCTTGTGCTACAAGATGGGGAAGTCATGTTACTTCGTTAAAAAGTTTGAAAGCAAATAAGATAGCTTTGCAAATATTAACAGTTAGAGAAGATGTGGTAATTTCAAGAGATATTAAAGATTTAATTCTAAGTGATGATTTCTGGACGAAGACAGGGGAATGTATAAGTATTTTGGAACCAGTCACTGAAAGCATATTTTACTTAGAGAGCGACCAGAATCGTTTGCATCGCACATACATTACATTTAGAGATGTACAAGCTAAGATACGTTTTGCATTAAATGAGATTTCGACATTGAGCGAAGAAAGCAAACAGCAGATTCTAACATCAGTATCTTCAAGATGCAATATGGCAATGAGGCCAATACATTTTGCAGCATATATTCTAGACCCCAGGACTCTAGGAGTCGAACTTACTCAAGAGGAAGAACTTAAGGGTATGGAGTTTATCTACAATTTAAGCCAACACTTAAGTTTGTCAAATGTAATGGCAGATTTGGCGTGTTATAAAGCTAAAGAAAACTTTTGGGCCAGAGGATTTGTATGGAGCTCATTAGATAGCATTGAGCCCCTAATATGGTGGAAAGGTATTTGTGGTTCCACTGAGTTAAGCAAAGTAGCGATTCGTATTCTATCAGCTCCCTGTACTTCGGCAGCCACTGAGCGTTCCTTTAGTATCCAAGGCTACATACATAATAACAAAAGAAATCGACTTACAACTGAAAGAACTGAAAAAATTTCATTCATTTGTTATAACTGGAATCTTAAACATAAAGCTGAATGCGAGGACATTCAGTTTAATGAAGAAAATACCTTAGAAGCTTTCATTGAGCAAGTAAATGAACATAACAGTTTAGACGAAATAGAGCCTATCGAACCTATACAATTCATCGCTTGTAATAACTCTGAATCTGACAGTGATTGACTGTAGTTTTACATTTTACTTTCATCTCTTTCTTAATAAACTCAAAATCAAATTAAAAGTTTTTTATTCTGTAGGCTGCATAATAATATTGTCTATGTCCAGTATAGTGGACGTCTTGCGGCTGAGATGACGATGATGAAGTACAAAATCATAAACACCCAAAAATTTGGGTGTTTATGGGGTTTAAACCCAATAAACCCAAAACACCCGGTTTTTACCCACCAGACTTTAAACCCACCCAGGTGGATTGCCCATCTCTACACGCAACTAGAGCACTAAGAATACAAATATTACGAATTCACGATGTCGAGCGCCCCGACTACTGTGTAATCTATGTGAAAGGAGGAACATTCGAGAAAGAGGGCTGACACAGGGAACTTTGCAAGAAACAACTAGTAATAATAATCTTACTAGTCATACTAATATAATAAAATTGTAATTTGTTTAAGTCAGCACATAGACGAATAGACCATAAGACCAATAGAAACCCAAACAATATTTTTTTTAAATTTTCTCTATCTGTGTATTTGTTCCGGCGTCACGCAAAAGCTACTTTACCAAATTGGATGCGGTTTTCACAGATGTGTTTCTGAATGAACTTATTAAAAAACTGGTGTATGTTTTATCTTGATACGCTATCTGGAAATGGCATATTTCATTAGTTTTCTTATTTTACAAATACACGCGTACGAAGTGACAAAAAGCTTGTAAGTATTTATATTACTTACAAGTATACAATAAGCCTCATAAAAAAACGGCAATTTCAAATCGTGACCAAACACAAATGAACACATATCGTCCTTGAGTTCGAGTCGAGTGTTTTTTCTAATAATATTGTGTATTATGTTCCGCTAAGTGCGGACAATCGCAACTATTAACATATTTTTCGTCTAACATTATTTATTATTATTATATATATAGTGTAGATAATATGAGAATTAATTGTATGTTATTTATATATTTCTATTTTATATTAATGATCTTTTTGTTTTTCTATTTATTTACTTATCACATAGCACTGTCAATTATATTTTCTGTTATTCCTGTCTACGGTCGACTGGTAGATAACGCCATATAGTACTGAATTCGCCATTTACACTAAGTGTATTTAAGTTAAATAAATATCGTCATTAATTTGTGTAGTTGAAAATATTTGAATTTAGAACATGGATTTAATATGCATCAACACAAGAATAAACCCTATCATTGCAAAGAGACTTATCGAAATCTCATATAGTATTTACAAAGTAAATAATATATATAACTACTCTATTACTACTCGTTCCAATCTAAAGATTGTCTGAAAGAGATCGCTTTTAGCGAAAGGCCGCCCGTTCTTTTTACAGAGTGAACATTTATTATAATTGTTTGTATCTATAATAAATATACTACTGTTTTGAGTAAACAATATATACGTAGAGTATCTATCAATAACTAGATATTGTGTCTAGTATGTACTTTAGATATACAATAAATTTATAAGTATTTAAAACGTACTCCTCAACATAACGAGTATAAGAATAGTTAATTATAATATAATAGGCTAACAGACCGCATTGTAAATCACAGCGCAAATCACTCATTGCATCCTTAATTAACCTTTATGTTTCAAACAATATAATTATCCTTGAGTGAGTACGAGTCATAATTCTACTAGTCACGTAACGTAGCTACCAAGTTTCGATCTATTTCTTCTCATAACAATACCAATATATTGTCATTGAAACATAACAGGCAAGGCCAATGGAAGTTTTTCTAGATACATAAAAAGATATCAACTCTATTCCCTGTTCATTGTAGCGGCTAATACATAACAAATCACATTTTATTACTTAATAGAAATACTTTTCATGTTGTATTGGCTCATATTATCTATTAGTGAAGGAAACCATTCGTTGTGAATTGTAAGTTAGTAGTTTTTTGGTTGTATGACAATCATGATACGTGCTTATCCGTTTGGTACAAAGTTACCGGTTAACTAAGAGGAGATAATGAAAAAAATTACAAAAAAGAAACATGTATCGAGCTACAATAAAAACCTTTGAGCCTCTTAATTGACATGTTCATGTCTACGTTGGTTACCCACTTTCCATCAGGTGTGCTCTCGGCTTATTCCCTATTCTCGTTTAAAAAAAAAACTTAATTGACAACTGGACGTGCCATTTTAGTACAAGGTCTAGACATTTTTTTGTCCTTTTTCGATCTATGTTTCTTTGGCAATGTTCAGTTTCCTTGGTAAAGGATGCTAATGATCTCTATGTATTGTTTTTTTTAAGTAATTCCTTTATTAACAAATACAGGGTTGCACTGTTACATATTTTTTGCCCTGGCTTACAAATTAAGGTAACATGTGTCTTGTAAGCCAGTTCATTCTAACATACAAGAACTAGTACTATGTATTTGTACAGGCATCTTAGGTGTATAATTTTATATATATTATGACCGGCTAAAATAAAATGTACGCGGAGAATGGTCTTTCCTCAAACTTAAACGCCTATGCTGACGAGGTAATTTCTCCATAGAAATATAAATTCTTTTTAAATATTGATTTGTATTGATATTTACAAATCAATATTTTTATTGATATGTAAATATTACATTAAAATAGAATAAATTAATAAATAAATATAATCATTATCATTGTTACAACCCATACATCATATACTGTTAAATAAAGACCACAAAATACGATCATGTACCATTTGCATCCAGCAATACTTTTGAAATGGTCGCTCCATCTCTCGGGTGGTCACTCCTCACTACACTTCCCTATACATAATAATATTGAATCGTAACTTGTAGGATTGGCGTGGGTAGCGAGCGCGAGCGGTGCCTCGGGCGGCATCTGTGAGAAGTACAAGACTTACACGGAGACAATCGGCGGCATGTACCAGAGTACGAAGCGGTCGCTCAACACCGGCATCATCACATTCGTCAACTACAACAGCCGAGTGCCGCCCAAAGTCAGCCAGCTCACGTTAGCGCACGAAATCGGACATAACTTCGGCTCGCCGGTGAGTATTCGTACATGGAACGAAATCTGTTTACCAATGTATTTATGTAATTATCTTTTGTTTATCAGTGGTACCAACTCTGTGAGATCAAGGTAGTCAAATCTGAACTGCGCAATCTCTCTACTTTGCCCTAAAACAGTATATGATCTATTTGAATTATTATTAGGTCAATCAGTTATAAGTATTATAGTAAGTAAATTAATAATTTGATTGTATGGTTTGTATGAAAACTTCAAAAATTATTTTTTTCTAATTTGTGCACATAGGATTATAGGATATGATCTATAATTCATCCATCCATTTAAACATGATTGTAGAGCAAATTTTTATCCTGTTTAGAGTTTTGGATCGTTGAAATACTGTTTATTTTGACTTTAGAAAATTATTATATTACAAAAAAAGTATGATGTAAAAAATATACACAAATATGAAATTCTAATTTAAACGCAATCAAAATCTGCTGACCTCTCCGAGTCGATCTGTGTGAACGGACACTAAGTAACCCTCGCGTATGATGACAGCACGACTACCCGTCGGAGTGCCGGCCGGGCGGGCAGCAGGGCAACTTCATAATGTTCGCGTCGGCGACGTCCGGCGACCGGCCGAACAACAGCAAGTTCTCCACGTGCTCGGTGGGCAACATCAGCGCGGTGCTGGACGCGGTGCGCGACGGCCGCAAGCGGAACTGCCTCACCGCCAGCGCGGGCGCCTTCTGCGGCAACAAGATCGTCGAGGACGGCGAAGAGTGCGACTGCGGTAAGATATTTAAAAAAATATTTATTATAATCTTTACCAGAGGGAGACTTTGTACAAAAGTCGTTTTCTTGGGTACCTCTGTCCCATTCGTGTTTCAACCATTAAAGCGCCAGAGGTAAAGGATCATATTAAAATTAATCTTGACATTTTTGAGTGAACACTGAGACTATGCCGGCTTTTTTCAATAGGGATATGTCAATGTGAATCAGTACGTCCAAGTGTAGTTTCATATGAAAGGGCTTCATTTGCACATTGTAAAACTGCTGTTTTTACTTACTAGTTTTCTACTTATCTAGAAAATTTATTTTTATTTCCGTGTAGTCCCGGCATAGAAGGCGACTAAGGGCACTTAATGGTCGAGGGATAGGCAGCAGCGTTCCTTTTAGAACATCACCAAAGCCTAACTGCAGTTGCCAATCCAACTATCAAGCGTGGGAACTACATGCAAATTTTTTTGCCCCTTTTGAGGAGGCCTATGTTCAGCATTGCATTATAGACGGCTGATATAATTATGATCTATCTATCTATCCTATTTAAGAGCTGCGCTCTTGTCGGTGGAACTCTTACCACTCACTACGATTTTCAGCGAGACTCTTCATGTTGATACGCAGTGCATTATCTGCCTGATGTAACTAATATAATAATGATAATGATAGAAAATGTAGTAATGTAGCTATCAGTAAACAATAGTTAGTGCTTACCTTTATCATTAGTAAAATTTTAATCGTCAATCTTCTGTGTAACTTATTGTCTCAATATTGTTTCACAGGTTACGACGAGAACGAATGTAGAGACCATTGTTGCTATCCGCGACAAGTGAGCTCCTACGATAAAGAAAGAAACAGTACAGCCAAAGGTTGTACGAGAAAAGCGAATACACAATGCAGGTAATGAATGTCTATCTCTCTATACCATATTTTCTCTAATAAATAGCAGTTTTTGTACTTTTGTTTAAATTAAATGTTTATCGCGACTCAAAGCCGAGTTATATTAATTGCAAAGATGAGATTTAGTTCAGTTTTCTACCTAATATGACGGGATCCTAATGTCCTCTATTGACTTTCAGTTAGGACCTTTAGTAATGGAGATGTGAAATTGGCTTGGAATCTTCGCGTCCAATCCAATTATCTAACTGTACTAAAACTGTCCGGCTTCCCCTCCTACTGCAACTGGAAGAGAAGGGTCAAGGTCAAATGAACTTTGCGGTGTTTATGGTGCTGTTCGTGTTTATAGGTGACAGTTCCTGTTTTCCATCAAATGGATCGTAATTACTATAATATTTAATAAATTTATTAGTCAACGCATTTATAAAATCTGGACTCCAATACAGCTAAACATAGTAATAACTAAATATTTTGTATAACCACAGTATAAATAATAGTATTAAAAAATACAGCATAGATACTTCCTGCCACCCGCTGCGTTCTGATCTTACCCCCTCCCGAACGTGTCAGCACCCAAACTCTATTTTACTGCACTAATTGTAACTATACACCCACACATTGTCGCCTAATAGACGTTAATTGTTTCTGTAGTTGTGACAATTATGGATCGCGGCGTTTTTGTATTTAGTGTCCATGGTGGGATATAACCTTAGATTATATAAATAGATATGTCTCCATATAAATGCTTCGACAAAAGCAACTTTTTCATACAATTTTGCGGGATTAATAGTTATAATTGTTCTTTTATAACTTCTGTATTTATTTTGTTTTATAATATTTTGCATGTTTTTAATGCGCAACACTCTATTTTATTTATTAAATAATTAAATATAGATACGTCAAGATACATTATGTGCGTAAGTATTATAGAACATTGATAAAAAAACGAGTTAGCTAATTTGACAGAAAGTTGACTTGTTTTTGAGACCTGATACTCTATCTAAAGATATATAATCTAAGGATATAACATGTAACTCAACACCTATATTTGTGCAAATAAATGACCGATTGTCTGTTGTGGTGGTGGTGCGATGCAGCCCGTCGCAGGGCCCGTGCTGCCACGCGCGCACATGCCAGTTCGTGCTGGCGTTCCGCAACCAGACGTGCCGCGAGGCCACCGAGTGCAGCCACGCGTCCGTCTGCTCGGGCCGCTCCGCCGAGTGCCCCGAGCCGCGGGTCATGTCCAACCACACCAAGTGCAACAATGGTAACGTATTTGTTTATTTACTAGCCTTTACCAGTGACTTCGTCATAATACGCTAATTGACCTGCTTTCACCCTCACATATCATTTCTCACTGGTGCTCTACCAGCGTATATAGATAGCGCAGATGGGGTTACCATACCATTTTTATTTACTATAAAAAAAAAATGCCATTTTCACTTACTATAAAAAAAAACCGCAGTTTCATCACGTGACCGAACCGTGATATGTCATAATGATTGGTTAAGCCGATAAGGCCCTGTAAAATAATAAACTCATTTTCACATTTATAATATTAGTAAGCATTTACAAACATTATATACTGAGTACCAATATTGATTAAATACGAAAGAGGGGTGAGTGAATTTATCCTATAATTTTAAAATATCTTTGATGACTTTATTCACAAATATTATAGTAACCACTTCGTTATTATACTGTATAAGGATGGGTACATGTACACGTACATAATGCTTTGGCGTATATAGCAGCTATAAAACGGTAACTATACACTGCCTACCTATCCTATCGGTATACGCTGGCGGAGCAGGCACCAGTGAGTGATGATAGGTGACAATGAAAGCAGGTCAGTTAGCCCATCGTGACGAATTCCACTAGAATTAGCAACGATGGTTTCCAAGGGGAACCACATGGAGGTCGACCTGATAGGGTGTATCGCTAGCATTGGGTTCATTAGACCCCATTACTAACAATCTTTTTTCCCTTCCTAAATACATTTGCTAAAAAACAAAACGCAGGGCAGTTATGCTTACAAGATTTTTGACGTTTGTGTGCACAGGCACGCAGCTGTGCAACGCGGGTGAGTGCACGGGCTCGATCTGCCTGGCGTGGAACATGAAGGAGTGCTTCCTGTCGTCGGCGCCGCAGAGGCTGGGTGACGGCGTGACGGCCGTGGTGGACCGGCGCGCGCTTTGCCAGCTGGCGTGCCAGACCGGGCCCGAGCCCGACTCCTGCCAGAGCACGGCCGACTTCGCGCGCCGCGTCGGCCTGCCGCCCGGCGGCATCTCGCTGCGGCCCGGCTCGCCCTGCGACAACTTCCAGGTACCACAGCTACCACAGCTACCACCACCACATGGTGTAAGACACGGGTGTTACACGGGTGACTTAAATTACGCAGTTTTTTTTTATACAACTTAGAATAGCAAACAAGCTGACGGCCCACCTGATGGAAAGTGGTAACCGTCGCCTATAGACATGAGCAGTACCGTGGACATAACAGAGTATACTGTTTCGCCCATGATACCCCCCATGCGTTGCCATTCCTGAGGACTCGGGTGTTATTCCTCTGTACCCAGTAAATTCACGCTATATCCCACCCTTTAAACCGAAACACAGCTATGCAAACACAACTGCTTTACGGTTGAAACACGAATGGGACGGAGGTACCCAAGCAATCGACTTTTGTACAAAGTCTCCCTCTGGTAAACTTTCTAACTAATAATTAGAAATTATGTTGTCAAGACAATATCAAGCAATTTCGCAGCAGATATCAATTGTTGCTAGAGGGAACACAGAATGGTCTCAGTCTAGACCATTTTCTTTCGCTTGTCATATAAACTTGACCTTTATAAAACAGTATTTTCCTAGCATTGACACCAGAGACACTTACTGTGAGTCAATATGTAATGATGTACATTCTACTTGCATCTGCATATTTTTGTTGAATAAATTATTATTATTATCAAATTATATTAAATCTGTTTTTCTTCATTGAGTGTAGAATTATCTTGAATACACCATTTTAATTCACGTGTACTAGGCGTAGATATAACATAGAGCGTTAAATGAATGCTTGTTGCAGGGCTACTGCGATGTATTCCTCAAGTGTCGCGCAGTAGACGCTGAGGGTCCACTGGCGCGACTAAAGAATCTGTTGCTGAACCGCGCCACGCTGCAGTCGGTGCAGGCGTGGGTCACAGAGCAGTGGTGGGCCGTGCTGCTCGGCGGCGTCGCGCTCGTCGTCTGCATGGGCGCCTTCGTCAAGTGCTGCGCTGTACACACACCATCCTCCAACCCAAAGCGACCACCCGCCAGGTGTGTATACGGCTTTACATTAGTTTTTTATTTTCGAATATATTTTACCCAATAAAAAAATATTTGGAAAGGTTATATAACTTTTTTTTTATCCAGTGTAATGATCAATATATTAGTACAAAAGAAAAAACAAAAGCTTGGCAAAAGAGTGGTAATAGTTAACTAATATCTGCTCTAAGAGCGAGATCCCAATAATAACATGTTAATGGAGTTTTTAGGGGATGAAAATGATCAGTTACCTGCTAGTGTTATTGCTGTACATTAACGGGATACCAAGTGAGGGTTAAGACAGCTGCATATAAAGATACAATGAGGTCAGTTAGCTCATTGTGATGCATTGAACAAAACTATAAAGTCCTAATTTATTAGACTAACTTGTCTAATCATAATCACTCACAATGGCCCATTTACTAGGTGGTGTGGAAATGCTTAAATAAATTAACTTTCTCCAATGCTAACCGGTTATTACGTAATGGCAATGGTGTGACGTGCGCAGGCGGCTGTCGGAGACGCTCCGGCGGCCCATGAACACGCTGCGGCGCATGCGCCACCCCGGACACGCGGCCGCGCGCGCGCCGCGCCCCGGACACCGCCGCCACCGGCCCTCCAAGGGCGACTACTCCGCGCCCGTCGCCTACCAGGCCCGCGACATCGGTCAGTAAGCCCCATCTGGTCTCGCTTCAATCCACTCTCAACCTTAACTACCCATCTCTGAATATAATTAACAATGAGAACTCAGAAACAGCTTTGCTTTTCATAAACAACAGTCTCAATGTAATTTGAATATTTTTACGGAGTTTGTATGTACTAAAGAATTTAATTTATAATATATATATATATATATTTACTCTTCTCCATCCAAAGGTCGCCTGGAAAAGATTGCTTTTAACGATAACACCATCCATTGTTTTCTTACAATGATCATTTTTTATAATTGTTTGTATCTATATCAAGTTTCCTATTGTAGTCTTTTATTACAATAATAATATTTTGGAGGAAACAACAAAGTGTATCTATCTATCGATTTAAATTGCATCGGTGGGCTAGTTTAAACAAAAATTTAAATACAACGCAAAAAAAGCTACTTCGTTTGTTTTGCAGAAAATAAACTACGAGAAATTATTACAAATTACAAGTCTAAGAAAACACATGCTGAATTAAAACATATTTTGGATTTATATTTAGTAGTGTACATTGACTGGGCTCATTACAAAACCATTTTCTTCACAAACACAGAAATGGACCTATCAAAAATAAAATAAATGATGTAATTTCTTCACTTGTGTATTTGACTTTTTTAATTATTACGTTGTATTATTGCTTTCAGCATCAGCACCACCGGGACCGAGCGGGCGACGGGGCGAGCCATACGCGACCGCTTACCCGCAGTCGTACGAGATGCGACCTCCTCAAAAGGTCTGACAGTACGAGTACTGCGGTGGGGGCGGAGGCGTGGTCCCCGGCCCCGAGGCGGGCCAGCTGGAGCTGGTGGCGCTGGCGCCGGCGCCCGGCGTGCCGCTGCTGTTGGGCTACGTATACCGAGCCTCGCCCCCTCCAGCACACGCTTCCGCGGCCGTAGGCGTTGGGCCGGGGACGGGGGAGGGCGGACGCACAGTCACAGTGGCGTCACAGACGACTATCACGCTGCATTCACCAGAATCGCTGACGGTGACGCACCCACAGCGGCCGCAAGCAGACATATAGGTTGCTGGAGTACTTTCGCCGCTTTGGGCAATCACCCGATGATAATAGGGTTCTTCACACCTGAGAGGTTAATAGAGGATAGTTCGTGAAATCGCAATACGATTAATTTTGTTTAACTTGCTGTATTTAATTGGTATTTCACTAAATTAATGTCTGAATACAATTTCAATCGTGAGTTATACAAAAAGAAACGTATTATGGTTTGTGTAAAGTAGCTTATAGGGTGCATACATTGAAATTTCAGAGTATTTTCCATTGCTCTGAGTGCTACTCGGAGAATAACCGACCTAGATGGTTTCTCCGACCCTATCGAGAGTATGGTGTGAATAAAGGACCCACGCTCATTCCAATGTATTCGATGCCGGCAGCCGTTTCCTTCGTGACTCGTCAAGGATAATAAATTGTTTGCTCAATACAAAAGAATTATATTCGATCCAAATACATGTGCTGAGCTCAAATCTTGTCTCGGTCGACGAGCGATACGGTGTTCTAAAATTAACTATTATTTTTGTAAAACGTAAATAATTGTGACGGTAACTGAGAACGCGGCGTGATGTTCATTGAGCCGATGACTTTTTATATTCAGTATAATATAGAGATGTTGCTCCTACAACCGGACATTTATGTATATTTTTGTATATAAATGGAGAGGTATACAAAGGCTACGATGTAAAAATATCAAACAAAAAATAACTTATATTCATACCGATATATTACAGTGTATAAAAATTACTGCATGGTTTTACTTCGAATCTCCGTAAGTTGATAATTTTTATATAAAGTTATTTTAATGTATTTAATGTTAACGTAAGTGGAATGTCGAGGTGCCATTATACCATTTCGTATTTCTATTCCTTTGTTACTCCTTCTCCACAGTGACCCCAATATTTATTCGTTATTTACTAAACGTGCGGGCTCAATCTATTCGAAATTTGCATTTAGTCTTCCTAAGGCCACTAATGTACTTTTGGATTCATTAAATTCGTTTAATATATTTTTAAGTAGTATATAATATGAAAATTAAACAGTATTGCCAAATGATCAAATATTATTAGACTGAAAATCAATCATTCTTGCTGTGGTAATAAAAATTTTGTAATACGCATTTTTTATTTAGTAGTTGTGTGTATGAGTTAGTGCGTAAAGATGGCTCAAATTACGATCTATACGATCATTTACTTTGATAATTACTTTCTGGATGACAATGTTGCATATCACAATTCACTCATATATGTATTAAACGAGTATTTTGTTGTATGTTTCTGTTATAATGATCTCTTTGATAGGTAATGAGATTTTTTTATTATTGATCATACCTACTACGTAGTTACTTTCCGTCGTGCAAGCCAAAGAGCATGATGTATTTTTATTATTTCTATACAATTATATTAAGAAACGGTCTTATAAGTATACCATATTAATGCCATTTTATTAGTGAATGTCGAAACAATATTCAAGTTCTTGTAATTGTACTATAAATATTGTATATTTGTATGTAAACTGAGAGGGTAATGTTTCCGTTGTAGAGTGACTTGACCAATCGTGTAATGGATGGATCATACAATTTCCATCACTAGTAGTACTCAATGGCATTATTTCTCCTAAGCATAAGCTAGACTACCATTAGATTATTTAAATGACAATGTGAATATTTTTAATTAACAAGATGAATGTTACAACATGTGATTTCAAAATAATAAAAAAAAACAATAAATTTTACATAAAAAATATTTGGTGTATTTATTTTTGTTAAAATAAGATAAACGCAGGGTAAATATGTATTAATTAATACGTTGGAAATTATTACACAATAATTTAGCATTAGTCTTAGATATGAAGATACCATTTTCAAAATTATTAGGTCGAATCTTTTTAAAGTGCTCGATTGTTATTCCCCCAATGGAACCATCATAGAATTAGAGTAATACCCCTATGGGAACCACAAATTCTACTGCCTGCTTACGTTATAATTTGGGATCTTTAATATTTTTAATATAAATTCATATTAACAATTAACTTATATTATAGACTTAAAAAAAAACAATATAATCGATTATTGAGTTTTTTATAGAGAAAAACAAAAAATATGTAACAATAGTGAACCGTTCCTTTTTTAAAATTGAGTAAAGACAGTTCTGAGAATTTGATCAATTTAGACCTATTAAACGCACGTAAAATTGCCTACTAAATAAAACAAAAATATTCTTTATATGTACTTTTTTTATTAAACAGGTAGATAATTAATATACTTATGTAAATACAAACAAGGTACAAAATCTTTGTTAAAATGAAAGAAGCGCATGAATAAGGGTCAATATTCACCACGAGCATTCGAGTATATCAATAATAACTCGAACTTGAAATACGATATTATTACTGAAGTGTGAGGCAATTTTTGTACAGCAATACATAGGTACATAATGCTAATAGCCAGAGGCATGTTTACGTAATAAATACAATATAAGCAAGCATGTACCGTTTCCGTCTTAACGATTCAGAGCTTCTAATGAGTTATACAAAGACTTATTTTAGGTCTACATTAAAGTTTATTTCGATAGATTTATGTGTAAATCTGAATTTCAAAAACCACCCGTTACAGGCTCCGCTACCTTTTCGATACCTACAAATTATCGAAGTAAACATAATAGTAATGTAAATTTGAGTTAAAGCTCTTAGTGAATACATACCCTAATGTGAATATTTGTTGTATTATATGAAACATGACTGCTGTCAGTATTCTCCAGCCCTAAAAGATATCAATTTTTTAACACCAATGTAGGTAACAGTGACGGTGCAATAAAATGCATTCATTCATTCAGACGTCACCGTATATTGCACTCACCAGTTCTCTAATGGTTGACAACATTTTTCAAAAATATTAAAGTAGAGAAATGTTTAGTTCAGATTTAATTATATTTATGTGGCAGTACCTCTATATTGTGAGTTAAAATTAAATAAATAATGTACATAGTTCTTAATCTAGTGCCTTAATCCAATTACACTTAATATTTATTCATAATTCAATGCAATTATATTTTAATTAATACAGCACTGTGTGATTTTAACTATAAAATCATTAATGAGGAATGTGCCAATTAATAGTTTATATATAGCCCTCAAAAGATCCTGAGACTAGGAAGAACACTGATGTAAATTGATTTACGGATAGTAGATACTTGCGGTGAAAAAAAAAGTAATGTAAAAATAAAAATTCTTGCGTGATTAGATATTTGTGACAGCTAAAAGTTATAGGAAATTTTACAACTATTTTACGTAGGCAATATTTTCCTGCGTTACGTATTAATGACAATTGACAAACAGTGTACATAAATTTATTACGCAAACATTATTCTATATCTTTATTATTAAAATTTGAATAGGCTATAGGGAGAACTATAGTAGTAAATAAGAAAATAAGCGATAAAACAATACCTATTTTAAAATTAATTTTATTGACACATATAATGTACTGTTTTATAATAGGGCTTATGTATGCACAATTTAATAACTTAAACAATTCACCAGTCTTGTTAAAGCTTAATCATATTTGCAAAAGAGTGGTTTTCAATGCCAATTCATTCATACTCTACTTATAGTAATTGCTTGAGAAGCAAAATCATAATCTCAGTAAAATACGGAAGCTAAAAATACTAGTCTTAATAATATTGGAATTTGATTTCTATACTTAATCACTACATAAATAAACTCCCAATGTTCACAAAAAATGCAATATACCTGGTTATTGATATCTTTACTTAGATGACAAAAAATAAATCGTAATTAAGCTATAGCTTTTATGAATAAAATTAGGAGGTGATCTATTCTAATACAAAGTGAAGTCTTTTAGAAAATACATTTTACAAAGATGAATTCATTATGAATGTAATAACATTTGCTCTTGTTTATAAACTTCATGATAAGCATTACGTATCAGTACATATGGAAAGCATGATTCTAATAAATCCATCGTTAGGAATGGTGATTCCTGAACAATCAGATCTAGAAGTAGATAAACAGATTCTCGATTTTTTATTGCTTCTTTATCAGTCTCTTGACCCAGCCGCAACAAAGAGGAAGACGCCAATGCTAAAAATTCCTTCATACGATCCTCAATGTCGCCTTGTCCGCATATTGTGAATAGCGCACCAAATATGTGATTGACAGCTGGTGCAATGCAATGTATGTTGTTAGCATGACCTTCCAAAGATGGCCTATAAAAAGAACCTTCACTGCGGGCCAATCTCGGTAATGATACTGCTACAAAAACCATTAGTAGACAAACAATCAAGTGTTCCTCTTCCTCTGATTCCGCTTTATGTTGTCGCAATGAAGTAGCTAATGTTGGATCTACTTTACAGGCCAGACCAGCTGCTGAACACATCTCTGATATAACCCGCATAGGATCACCACTAGGTAACTGCTGTTGGAAATCTTTAATTGAACTGATCAAAAATGGAATTCGTCTTTCTAAAACATCTAATAAGGACTCTTGAGCTATTTGGCGGAAACTCAAAATAACACCGATTATTGTCATTCTTTGCAATACATTGTCAACATGTTGTAATCTTTTGAATTGTTCTCTCATGATTTCAGGTTTGTCAAAGTTAGTTCGTAGCATTTGGAGCACTTCTTTATTCTGCATAACTAACTTCTTCAGCTCCTGAACCTGGCTAGCAATATGCCACATCAAAGTTTCACTCAATAGTTTCATGCCATATGGCCCAATCAATTCAGCTAAGGCTCGAAGTTCATTTATATCAGAATACTCTTCAGCATTAAATGGTATTGCGCCTTCTGCTGAAAGACTTACAAAGGCTTTTTGGTTCATGGAAAAACAGATACTTCCAGCACTAACTCTTCTCAGCAGAATTTCTGAATACCATTGTGTATACAAAGATGCTATGGTTTTTTCACCATGGCTGTCCATGTTTTGTGTTTGTTGTAGAAGGCAATTATTGAACACTCTTGTTATGTCAATATGTACGTAATTTTCAACAGTTTGCAATACATTCATGTATGCACGAACACTGACCAACAATTCTGATGGCTTAGCAATTTCACTAGTGTCTTGATTAAACATCACCATGCCAACTAATGCTTTTGAGAATCTGTTCTCCAAATGTTGGTTCAAATATTCACGAGGTGCAAATGTGTATTCCCATACATTCACAGTAATACAATAGTTTATGGCATAGCAAAGTTCAGTCAGAGCCATATGCAGTTTGTCCATGGTGGTCAGTTCTTCTCTTGTCCTTCTATAACTTTCAGCACCTGGTTTTACAATTTCAATTACATTTTTCTTATTCTTGTCCTTTTTCTTTCTATTTGCAATTGTTTGGGCACAATGTTTTGGAAGTAATTTGTCACTCATTGTACACTGTTCATCACATATAGTTGTGATGATATTTTTTGCTTCTTTAGCCATCTCATCCAGAAATATGTTGACAACAGATAGACTCCTTTCCCTAATGTGATGTCTTTCTTCTGGGCATAATTCATGTGTACAATTTTGGAAATGGCTACATATAAGTGGAAATGCTATGATATAACGATTCTGTGCAGGGAATTCCAAGCACATATGAAATTGACTTTCAAAAATTTTGTTGTAAAAACAGAATAGAGATAAATCAGATGTTTCTACCATGATTTCATCTAAGTTGTCCACCATCTTAGTATGAAAAACCATTTTGTCAATAAATTGAGCCAGTTCTCTTTGTTCTCCAAGATGAAAACCACTTTTTGCAGCTGATGTGTATGTTTGCAATCGGAACCAATCTAAACGAAATGCTCTGAAGTCAAATAATTCATTATCTTCAACTTGTTTAACATTCAAGTTGGCTGCAGTGTTGCATAAGGAAGTCAATATTATACTTTCATCTTCAGGACAAACTTGCAAGTTTTGTATCATTAGATTTAAAGCAACTGCATCATAACCTGACAAATACTGAACATAGTACCTCTGCATGACTTGGCTGTACTTACGCATTAAGGCTCTCAACTCTTCCATGTGGAACAGCAGTTCAGGTAACTGTCTGTCAACCAGATCTTCTGTTGATTTGCCTTTGACCTTTTGAGGGGATTATCATTATGACGTAATAGCCAAAAGACTTCATCTCTTGCATAACACAGTCCAATGAATATCAACAAAGCTTTAGGCCCCAACAGACCAGGCTGATCAGTCAATATGAGCCCCAACTCTTTTAATGCTGTCCGTAAGAATTTCCTTCTCTCCCGATGCTTGTATCCTGCTTTTTGTACTGCATGATGATAACAATCTTTAACCTCAGATACCTTTTTCCCATATCCCTTAATTCCATCGAAAAAGCTTTGTATGTAACTATGAATGTAGATTACCTCATCACGAAACAGTGCTAAAACCCAGCCTGACTCCAAAGCGCTCACCCACATTTTGTTGCAACGTTCCTGTTGCAGCATTTGGTGACAAAGTGAGAATCCAAATATAATCCATCTTTCTAGGGATTCCAATGACAAATACTCACATGACATTGTGTTAGTTTCTGATGGTTTAAGAAGATGAGCTGGATTGCTCACAAGGCTGAGCTTCTGCTCTGATCTCCAGTGTTCAGCTGTAAGATTTCTTGCTGGATATACATGCCACAGTGAATTTAATGCAGACATTAAAGGTTTTTGATGGCAAGCAAATTCTTCAGACAGTTTTTTTAGTGGTACATCATAATCTACAATTAGTTGTCCCAGCCGTGGGAAATTAGGATCTATTTGATTATGAATCATTTCATGTGCAGCATTGAATAAACCCAGGACTGCTTTCCTATCTTCTACTCGGGACAAAAGAATCATTAAAGACACATAGGTTGTGACCAAGTCAAAGTAATTTTTTGTCAATTCAAAATTTATTGTCAAATCTAATGATACCTGACAGGAATCTACGACATTTAATATTTCACAGACATTGTCCTTGAAGTCCAATAAATCAACAAATGTATAGTAGTACAAGGATAGAGATTTTATAATATCATTCTTAATACTTGCAATAACTTGAAGTCCTTTGAAATCAATGTTAGGAAATTTTCGGACAATCTGTTTTATAGAGGACTCTAATGCTTTGTCTGATAGGAAGGCCGGTTTAGATTTGGCATCACCACATGCTTTCTTGATATTGTAGATCCTGGTCAACATACCAATGCCCCGATCATTCAGTAATATTAATTTTTCAGCCAGCTTTTGCTGGCTGATATGAACTGATCTTGATAAAGACATTTCCTGAAATAAAAAAAAAATAACTTTATTATAACGTATATCGGGAAGTTTAATGATAGTACATTAGGTGTGTAGTGATAACGAAGTATCGGGAACATTGCTATCAAATAACATTAGGTATCTAACCGTTTCCTGTCATTTCCCCCTCTAAATAACATCCTCAATTAAAAAGTAAACACGATTTGATTTAGTACATTTTATTTGTAAGGCAACAGGATACAACTAATAATTCTGCTTATTAATTAGACAAGTCCTTAAATTAATGAAATGTTAGTTGGAACCATACCTGTAATTTTTAACGAAGTACACTCTTCAAACCTCAAGTTAACGCGAAGTATACATGTTTTTGGTAAGTTTAAATTCAAAATGTACCAACCCTAAACAAAACACAAATATTCCATTGATTTATAATTACTAATTAATAAGTAACAATGAAAATTTATAGTAAAAAGGGAGTGTCTTGGCAATAGATAGAAGAATAACTTTGTTAGACGCGATAAAATGACAGTGCACGTCAGTCAACTAGATTGACATTACTGACAGTAACAAATATTTGTACGAAAGTCTTATCATCTGTATGACGACATCACATCTCTATGAACATCGAATTCTTTGTCGGACTCACTTCATACAAAAACGCCACCTTCTGTGTTTGTCACAACTATAAAAACAAGTAACGTCTGGTAATTCATAATGTGTGCGTCTGTAATTTTTTTTGTATGAAAATGAAATAGTAACTCCGCTTGCACTATCATTATACACTGGCGGGGAACCAGTGAGGAATGATAGATGAGAATAAAAGCAGCTTTGTTGGCCTATAATGACTAAATCACAATAGATTTTAGGGGGGGACCGCGTGGAGGTCGACCTTATAGGGTATATTGCTAGAATTGGTGCTGTTATATCCCAGCAATGGTGCTGTTATACCCTATTACTAACAGTTCCTTGTGTGCGTTTGTAGCTAAAATTCCGAGCTAATTGTAAAAATTAGAATTTGGGTGCTGACGCGTATTAAAGAGAGGATTATGTCAGATCACAGCGGGCGGCAGAGAGTATCCATACTGTACTTAAATTCTATTACTTATATTATTAAGATTATCTATTCTATTTTGTAGGTAACTTGTGGACTAACTGATTGAGTGTTTAAGTATTAACCAATTTGAATTTATATATATATATATATATATATATATATATATATATATATATATATATATATATATATAGTACAGTTTTTTAAGAAAAATAAGTTAAACGACAACATTAATTTATTATCACAAAATGTTCAAAAATTTTACATTTATTAAAATAATTATTGCCATAAATTTTCAGGTAAACAGTTTTAAAACAATAATTTTGATAATCTCTTTCCCAAAATATGGTTTCGTGTTTTCTGACTATATTTCCCATTGTGGAAAATAATCTTTCCAATTTCCGACTATAAATGGCCGTCATAAAAAAAATGCTTTAGAACCAATTCGGTTAGCTTAGAAAATCAATTTAAACAAATACTTTATGTTATCGCTTTATTAATATTAAATTAATATTACTATTATAATCAATTATAAAAATCGATAATAAGAAAATAATACTTGATTGGAATTAAAAAATTTAACACCTCTCTGTGTTCGTGTATTTGGTCTCTGACATTCTGTCATCTGTGTTAGTGGTTAATTGGTTATGGTTAATTTTATTATTAAAAAGTCTCAGATATTACATTATTAGTTTATATTATAAATACTAGTCTTGTTGCCTATTATTGAAATAAAATAAGTACGTTATTCTTACAGTTTATCAACAAAATTTATCACCATGCCGCGTATTATGATAAAGGGGGGCGTCTGGCGGAACACTGAGGTTTGTGATTTTGTTTGTTAGCTAAAGAATGTCGCTGAAATTTCGGTATTTGTATTATCTCTTCGTTTCTTCTTTCTTAACATATTGAAATAATCCCTAAAAGAAAAAAAATATTTTTCTGGATATAATTATCTTTCTAGATACCTAGAGAAAATTACTCTTTATAAGCGATATTATAAACGTTATAGTTTCATGGTATCCCCGGTAATGTTCATGTCTATAGGTAATAGTAGATATTTTTATAAATTTTATAAAAAATTTCTACTTTCTTCCAATAAATGTCATACGATTAGAAATGAGTTCATAAATTAGTAAATATAGAATGTACTTTGTTTCTGATACTGCTTTCCAACCTGATTCATAGAATTAGATTAAAAAATAGACTTATTCAGATTTTTTTAAAAAAGACAGATGTTAGTGTTATACTTTGGGGTGCATATTTCTTAAATAAATGGCCCTAAGTATTTATCTAACAAGTATTTTTGTGACTGTATTGTTTCCATCATATTTATTTCAAAAGTGAACTTCTGCTCATATTTTTGTTTTTCCATTTATCAACTGTCTATTGTATTAATACTGTAAATAGAGAGAAAATATTGAATAGATGTTTATAATATTTTAAAATTACTTGTCATAGAAATATAAGAACAATGTTACATATGATTTTGATTTTAGAAATTTGAGATATGATTACTGTTACAAAGTGTAAAATTCTTTTAGGATGAAATTCTCAAAGCGGCTGTTATGAAATATGGAAAAAATCAGTGGTCCCGTATTGCCTCACTGCTTCATAGAAAATCAGCTAAACAGTGCAAAGCCCGGTGGTATGAATGGCTGGATCCGAGCATCAAGAAGACCGAGTGGTCTCGGGAGGAGGATGAGAAGTTGTTGCATCTGGCCAAGCTAATGCCCACACAGTGGCGCACCATTGCACCTATTATTGGTCGCACAGCAGCTCAGTGTTTAGAGCGATATGAATATTTACTGTAAGTTTTATTTTCATATTACATGTATATGATTTAACAGCTTATACTATAGTATCATTTCATCATCATCATCATCATTTATCTCAGCCATTATCTGTCCATTGCTCAACATAGACCTCCCTCATAGACTGCCATAAATGACAGTCCTAAATCACTTGTATCCACTGACACCCTGCAATGCATTTGAAGTTGTCACTCCATCTGGTGGGGGGTTGACCTACACTGATCAATTCTTAAAAGCTATCACTCAATCTAAATATCTTATTCCTCTATGTAATATTTTTTGCTACAAGTATAAATAATTTAATTACCTTTATTTATATATTTTTGATTATTATATAGTCAATGTTGTGCACATATTTAATTGGTGTACATATACTACCTATACATATAATAAATGCTGTATTAAAATGAATTATATGTCACATTAATGATATACTAATAAATTAATAAACATATAATTTATGAAATTCTGAAATGTTTTAAGTTTTTCATTTATTAAATAAAATGTGTAAACAGCTATATCTGTTTTAAAGTTTAAAATTCTAGTTGGATGAATTTGCAACTATTATTCTTAAAAACATTGTCAATTTAAATTTCTGTTTTACTCTTCAATGGTGGAAACATTTTTAATAGACCAAATTAATCTGAGTGGTTGAAGCAGTAATATTACTCAATATTAAAATATTGAGTAATGATAAGAATTACATTTCTGAGCCTTTATTTTTATTATGTAAATAAAAAAAATAATAATTGATTAGCAAAGTATTAATACATAGAAATATTGAAATTATATTTTCATTTGGGGTTATTTAAGTATAGATATTAAAATCAACAATCAGCTCATGCATTTTTAATAGATATAAAATTTGTTTTATATATTCTTCATTCATTCTTTATTGCATTTGTAAATTTTATAGAAAACACATTTATCAATATTATGAGCTTCTTGGACTTATCTTTTTGTTTTCCTTTATATGATTTTTATTTCATAATTTTTTTATGTTTTTCCTAGGGACCAAGCTCAAAAGAAAGAAGAGGGAGAGGATATGGGAGATGATCCTCGTAAGTTGAAGCCTGGTGAAATTGACCCAAATCCAGAAACAAAACCAGCTAGACCTGACCCTAAAGATATGGATGAAGATGGTGAGTGTCTACTGATGATGTTATAAAATCTTATAAAGTCACAATTAAAACCTAAACATATGGTGTGTTGTATTCTGTTAGCCATACACTTTGGCTCCAAACTGCAATCCTGCGCAGCAGATCCTGAAAAAAAAAACCTATACATGTATAATAAATTAATAAAAAGACTATTATTGCCTCCTATATACATATATTTCCTATTATCTTTTTTTATAAACTGTATCTTGAGACTTTGTGTGCATTAGGATAAAAATATAAAATTTAATGGGTATAACCTGTGTGTGCTCTCTGTAATAAAAATTTAATGGGTATAACCCTTCCACCTATTTTTTTTTTATAAAGTAATAAACATGCAAATAAATTATTATATATTATATATCCAGTTTATATATATTGGATGATTATATTATATAGCTTATAATCATCCAATAATAAATAGTAGGATCACTTGTCAAGTGAACTGTTTATAATTAATTTAATAATTTTATATTATTGTATAACAGAACTGGAAATGCTGTCTGAGGCACGTGCCCGTCTCGCTAACACTCAGGGCAAGAAAGCTAAAAGGAAGGCGCGCGAAAAACAATTGGAGGAGGCGCGTCGCCTCGCCGCTTTGCAGAAGAGACGCGAGCTGAGCGCCGCCGGTATTGCTGTGCCGATGAGGTAGTAGAAATATTTCTGTTACAATATTTTATTATATTTATATAGTTTATTCATGTTTTCGTTATTTTTAGGACATTTATGGTGCAACCTTGTCTGTCTGTCTGTTACAGACCTATATTTTAGAAAATACTAATGTTATTGATTTGAAATAAATAAAAATAGTTTTAGATATTATTGACTGATTCTTATTGCAAAAGTACTGCATAACTAGTTCAAGTTAATCCTAAAATAAATGAAAGAGTTTCTTTTTTACATCTTAAAATTGGTTTTATTCTTTTTTATGTCCTATTCTTTTTATATTTTTTTCGTTAAAACTAACTTTCCTTAAAAAATGCAAAAATAATAATTTCGTACAAATAAAAAAATAATAGTTTAAAGAAATCTAATGTATATACATATTATTTTATAAATGGAACCGTTGATAGAACAATTTAATTTTTTTTTTACTGAAATTAATTTTGTTTCTTTATTTAGGCGCAAAAAAAAGCGTGGTGTGGATTACAACTCCGAGATCCCATTCGAGAAGAGGCCGGCTGTTGGGTTTTATGATACATCGACGGAAGTCGTGGATCCGATGGCTCCCGATTTCTCACGGCTAAGACAACAGCACCTTGATGGTGAATTGCATTCAGAGAAAGAAGAGGTGAGCGTCAAAATGTATATTCCTTGTCTACTTTTTTATAAATTCCTAGTACTAGTTTTATAATGAAACTGGTTATAGTTTAATAAAAAAAAAAAAAACTATCTGATATTTAGTTAAATACAAAGCAGTTATATATTATATTTTATGCAGATAATAATTTTGTTAAATGAGCCGATTTTTATAGGTTCCTTGTGTTTAGGGTGTTATTTTAATGGGCTTTGCACAATTGTGTTTTTTTTTATAGGTTCCTTGTGTTTTTTTTATAATAATTAGATAAACTGTAATGTAAATATAATTATTACATTACTTTATTACATTACATTACACAAGCCATTACTGTTATAAATCTCTAAATATTTTTCATGTTTTTTTAAGATGTCACCTCAATATTTACTAGTTTTATTTTACAATTTTATCAAGTAAAAAAAATCTTTACACAAGTAGCAATAGTAATAAAATGATATATGAGATTTAAAAATGTATTGCTTTATCATACAGAGAGAGCGGCGCAAGGATAAACAAAAGTTGAAACAGAGGAAAGAGAATGATGTACCGCAAGCGATGCTGCAGGGCGACCAGCCTGCGCGCAAGCGCAGTAAGCTAGTATTACCCGAGCCGCAAGTGTCTGATCAGGTATGTTATATATGTATTTGGAAAACATTATCTATGAACAAGAAACTCGTGTTTGAATCATTTAAAGAAATTATATTGATTTTTTATGAAACTTAAAAAAAAAACAAGCTTACACCTGATGGAAAAAGATATTCGCCTATAATATTCAGCAAGAACTCAATATATAGATATTTGTTGTTCTTGAGGATATTATCCACACTTTAAGCGAAAGATGTCTGTGTCCAAGATTTGTTAAGGCAGTTTAGTAATTCCTGACACCATAGGAGAAAACTTTTATATGAGTAGTACTATATAGTAATATCTATATATTATTATTACAATATCATATATTGACCTAATAGTAGGATATGTTAGATATTGGTTATCCAATATATAATATCGAAAAGAAGAACTCACTCATAATGAATATAGATATTAGGTTGGTATGGGCGATATTGCAATGGGCGATCCTCAATATTTCGAAGAACTCAGTATATAGATATTAGATACTAGCAGTTGCTAGCGACTTCGTCCTCGTTTCGTTAAAATAAGTACCTTATGTCCTTCCTCATGGTTTAGTGGTTTTGATGTAACAGACACATTTCAAAACAATCCTATTGATCGTAGCGTGATGAAAAAAAAACACAATAAAGAATAATTGTACTTTTTAAAATTCAATTTTGTTTAATTAACGAACATATATATTAGACAAAAATTTTACTGATTGCATTTTTGGCATCAACGTTAATCACTAGAATATATAGATATATTTCATGTACTTATTTATTTTATTATATGTATAGAATAGATTATCCATCTCTAACGAGTAGTAGTAGTAGATTTTTGTGTTCGTAATTAATCAACATAATTATCTGTCAAAAAAATTATTTTGTTTTATTTTTAAAATGTATTCTGACAGATAATCTATAACATTGCTCAGAATACATTGCATTTAAATCTACCAGTAAAAACTTTGCACCTACTTATATTTTGCTTTGAAATTTTTGCGCGGCGCAGGAGCTGCAGCAGGTGGTGAAGTTGGGCCGCGCGTCCGAGGCGGCGCGCGGCGGCGTGGGCGGCGCGGACGGCGCGGATGGCGCGGACGGCGCCGCCGCCACCGATGCGCTGCTCGCCGACTACGCACTCACGCCCGCGCCGGCCACCGCGCTGCGTACGCCCGCGCAGCACCAGGACAGGTCGCCGTCCGCATATATCAAAACTAACATGTGAAAATTAAAGATCCGTCTGCACTGCTAAGTCTAATCGTATATTTTCACTTGACCAAAATATTTGTAATAATACCATTTATATTTAAAAACAGCCTAAATACGCAGTCAAATCACTGATAGTTAATTTATTAAAATTTTTATGAGATTGTAGATTTTTTTATATCAAGTAAAACATCTTTTTCTTGTGACATGTCTTGAAACGTGTTTATTTAGGACAGAGGTTGCAGTGACATCTGTATCCATGTATCCCAACATGTATAAAAACTTGATGCATCTATATAAATAAAGTTGATAATGAAAAAAATTCGTAAAAGCTATTTTCATATTTCGGGAGAAGTCATGTGACATTTGTATAATCTTTAGAATCCTCATGGAGGCGCAGAACGTGATGGCGCTAACGCACGTGGACACACCGCTGAAGGGCGGCCTCAACACGCCGCTGCACCACTCGGACTTCTCGGGCGCTCTACCACAGTCGCAGGCTCTCGCCACGCCCAACACACTGCTCGCCACACCCTTCAGGTAACACCCACTGTCTGAACGACCAATTGTTCGATCAATCAACCAAGCGCTAGCTAACCGACTAGTTACCAACCAATCTATCCGCCAACCAATGAAAAATAACTTGATCTAGGCGAGGAAACCATTATTTTTTAATCTATTATAAAAAATGTTGCAAGTACCATACCCCGGACACTTCATTCATAAACGCCACGATCTGTCATTGTATGTCAATATATGTGTGTGTAGTTAGAGAAAGCGCGAGAAAAGCGGGCGCTTCGATGTATTGTTTAATATGGATTGAGCAGTGATGTTATCCTTCTTTATCCCACGTAAATATTGTATCTTCTATCCTTTCTACATCGGTGGCTCTGTCAGACTAGGGGATTTATGGAGCATGGTAGCTGAGAGAGGTCATCATAATAGAGAGTATTAGTTATACTGTATCATTACTGCTCTCCACTCCTTCCTTTCCCGTGGATGTCGTAAGAGGCGACTAAGGGAGGGCGAGGAATGGGTGGCAGTGTCCCTTTTAAAACATCTCTAAAGCCTAACTGTGATTGCCAATACACCTGCTAAGCGTGGCGACTACTGGCAAACCTCCTAAATGGGCAGCTTATGTTCAACAGTGGACAGTTAAAGGCCGATATGATGATGATGAATGATAAGATAACCTATCTAATGGGATTTTAACATATTTTTTACTGCTAAAATAAATCAAGATGATGTATTTTTTTTTATACCATTAATGATAAGAGACCATAACAGCTACTGTTTCGCCCATGATACCATGCGTTGCCATTCCTAGGACTCAGGTGTTATTCCTCTGTACCCTGTAAATTCCTTCATGTTCAAAATTAAAGGAAAAATGTTAAAAAAATTAATTTGACAGGTTTTGTTTTTCTGCAATGAACTTAAAAAGGTATTCAGGGATCAACTTAAAGTGAATGTGGTCTTTTATATAATTTTTGGGCATTCAATGTTATGATGGAAATTTCTACCATTATACAAAAAAGGGTTAAAAATAAATTTATGAATGGATATCTTACAATTTGTTCTACCTTAGCAATATTTTTTTTTAAACAGAGTTGCATTTTTATATTACAGATCAACACGCAGCGAGGTTTCGACACCAGGAAGTTTTAATACGCCCGGTCAGACTAATGGGCAGCCAGGGCTGATGGTAGGTACTGAACAAAGGTTCCAATACCATTAGTAATTCTTTTTTTTTTTTGTTTAAAATACACTTAATTCATTGAGGGATGATGAAAGGTAACTCGTCACTTTGAATAAATTAATAATAGAGTCTTTATATTGCAAATTGCAGCTTCTTATTTTATATTCTTGCAATGTTACATTATATGTCGTTTGTTGTTTTCTTATTCGCATTGTAAAACAATCATATTCATATGATAAGTACAGCTTAAACTTATGGTTTTTGTTACAGACACCAGGTTTGCGTGATAAGTTGAGCATTAATCCTGAAGACCGATTGAGTGGCGGTGATACACCACAAATGATGAATCAGTTACAAAAACAGGTAATATTAAGGTCTTATACATTTGACTTTAGAACAACATGACTGCCGACGCAACGGAAGAGAGCAGCATCTCTATCAAATTAGTATTCCGCATGAACCTATGTATACAATAAAATTAGTTTCATACCCATTGACTTCTGGCACTAAATTTTTTTTTGATTTGTGTGAAAATGGTATGGAAACTCCGCCTGCGCTAACGGGATACACTGGCGGAGCACCAGTAAAGGGTGATCGATGAGAATGAGAACAGGCCACTTATCCCATCATGATGAATTCATCAGGAATTAACCATAATAGTTTCCAGGGGGGAACGCGAGGAGGTCGAGCTGGTTGGGTATATTGCTAGCAATGGGATTCTCAGTCTCCATTACTAACAATCCCTTTCCCCTCTTGGTACTAAATTTAATAGCACAGCCGGGTAGATCGATATCCGATAATAATATAATTTTGATCTTAACAGCAAAAACAATTAACTTGAAACATGGTATTTACAAAAATATTGAGTGTATTATTTGTAAAACTTTTATTCGGTTATTTACACCTACAGTTGCATTATTACTATAATTCGTACTTGACTTTATGCATAATGTACAATGAAGCTAAATTTATATTTGTCTGAGTACGATTTAGTGTATGGTATATGAGAGTACGTGTGCACGTATTTGCAGATGAAAGCGTCTGTACGCAGCGCGCTGAGCTCGCTGCCGACGCCTCGTAACGACTACGAGATCGTGGTCCCCTCCCCCACGCCCGCGTCCGACCCACCCGCCGCCAACACTGCGCCCGCGCTGATGGACCAGGCCGATGTGGACGCGCGCCGCCTGCAAGAACTCGAGGAACAGCGTTAGTATACTATAGATTGATGTTAATATTGACCATTTTTATAAATATATCATTGCGTCTGCTAAGGTTACGGACCGCGTTACTACAAAATAAAGCACTAGTCGTCACGTATTGGTGTTTTAATTCATAGATTAAAAAAAAAGTAGTTGAAACATTTCTTTATATATTTTATTGAGTTAGGTGTTATTTTGCCGAAGTGTAATTTTTTTTTTACAACTAAGAAGGGCAAACAAGCTGACGGCCCACCTGATGGAAAGTGGTAACCGTCGCCTATAGACATGAGCAGTACCATGGACATAACAGAGTATACTGTTTCGCCCATGATACCCCCCATGCGTTGCCATTCCTGAGGACTCGGATGTTATTCCTCTATACCCTGTAAATTCACGCCATATCCCACCCTTCAAACCGAAACACAGCCATGCAAACACAACTGCTTCACGGTAGAAACACGAATGGGACAGAGGTACCCAAGCAATGGACTATTACTTTAAAATAATTTGAAAAGTGATAACATCTACATTATTTGTATATGCTTCGACTCTCGATTTTTTTTTAAATTAATACTAATTATATTCTAACAATTAAGTTTTTTTTTTTTATGGGCTACCAGTGAATGATTATAGGTAAAGACAGAATAATTGACTCATCATCACTTTCCCAGGAATTATTCATGGTGGTTACAAGTACGACCGCTTGTAGATTGTTCTGATTTCTGATACCGGCAATATATACTAAAAACCGTTACCAGAGGGAGACTTTGTACAAAAGTCGTGAAAGAAAGTGCTTGGGTACCTCTGTCCCATTCGTGTTTCAACCGTGAAGCAGTTGTGTTTGCATAGCTATCTTTCGGTTTGAAGGGTGGGATATGGCGTGAATTTACTGGGTACAGAGGAATAACACCTAAGTCCTCAGGAATGGCAACGCATGGGGGGTATCATGGGCGAAACAGTATACTCTGTTATGTCCATGGTACTCATGTCTATAGGCGACGGTTACCACTTTCCATCAGGTGGGCAGTCAGCTTGTTTGCCATTCTAAGTTGTATAAAAAAAAAGCTCCCATCACTAACAATTCTCTCCCATCTTCCTAATGTACAGGTTTGGCGGAACTCGCGTTACGATCAACAGCAGTGCAACGTGGGTGCGCACGACCTGTGGACGTGAACGGGTCAGTGGTGCGAGGAGGCACGGCGGGAGCCAGTCTCACGCCGCTGCAGCAAGCAGAGGAGCTGCTCAAAGCCGAGATGGTCACCATGCTGCACTACGATGCGCTCAGGGATCCCCCGCCAGGTACGTCACGGTCCCGGTTCTAGTTGGGACTTCATGGATAGAGTCGGCAGTTCCTAACCTTTTTACTCCCCTTGTACCCTCTTGCATATTGATTAATCGAAATAATAAGCAGTTTATATCCATACTCATTCCAAATACAAACTTTTGGACCCTCGAAGGATTACCTGTAAAACATAAACGAAAAGGGTTACCAGTTTGGGGGATTTAATTTTGTAGTTCTTTATTTAAATAAAAAAAATGTAACACGTTGTTCGAACCCCCCTCCCGTCCCTGTAAGGCATTGCAACGATTTACAAGACACTCCCCTCATCCAAATTGTGTTACGTATTACTTGAATGCCCCTAAGCTGATATATTGAAGAAGGATATTATCACATGTGCACACATTGTGTGCTAATCGTAAAAGGATCGATAATTTGGGATAGTAGGATATCATTTAGGATTTCATTACGATTCTTTTGTTTTGTCTAGTTGCCTTTTACAATATATTACATGTATTATTACATCCAAGCATAAAAAAGAGTATATTTTATATTTGTCATCAAAAGTAAGTATCCTAAATTATTGTTATAATTCTATTTATCTGTCTTGATCAATAACTTGAAAATTGTTTGTAAATTATGAAACCTCATAACAGGTGTGGATAAAAAGCGAGCCGTGCAATTACAAGCATCGCATCTAGCCTACTTGGAGCATCATCCATATGAAGACTTTACTGCTGAGGAACTAGCAGCTGCTAAAGAAGAACTCAAAAAGGAAATGGAGGTCGTAAAGGCTGGCATGGGACACGGAGACCTTAGTATAGATGCATATACACAAGTGTGGGAGGAGTGTTTAGCACAGGTATTTTATTTTTGTATTTATCTATACACAGTATATTTAATAGTTTCACAAGAAATTATCTCACTGATAATGAATTTTATTACTAATATTTTACAGATAAAGATAGGAAAATGTTTTACTGATTTTGTTATTGAGATGGGATGAAATGGAATTAAAGAATGGAAAAAGTACTTTTAAAAAGATTTTAGCTGAGGAATATTCAACAGTGAACAAGGATTTGTGATTATGATATCATCTGACAATGAGGTTGATTCTGATGACCTATATGTCTAAACCTAATATATTAATTTGATAGTTTCGTAAAATGTTTGTTTAATAAACTGAAAAATTTATAATAACTGCAATCTATTAGAAATTTAGTTCATATTTTTCCTTAGAGATTTAGGGATAGGTTTAGAGAAATGGCGCATTATTAGTCCCAATGAGTGTAGGAAGTTTCTTACGTTTGTTCTATGAATACATTCATCGAATATTGATAGAATAGGTAAGCATATTGAAAATGCGCCAAGCGAAAATGACTTTTAATGGACAAACACAAGTATACACATACATATTCATAAGATTTTCTTTCTTCTCATTTCATAAGCGTACTGCTTATGAATAGGATAATATAGGTATTATTACATTGTTTCAGGTGTTATTTTTACCAGGACAAAACAGATATACGCGCGCCAACTTGGCCAGTAAAAAGGATAGGTTAGAGTCAGCCGAGAAGAGGTTAGAACAGAACAGAAATCACATGGCGAAGGAAGCTAAAAAGTGCTCAAAAATGGAGAAGAGACTTCGAATACTCACAGGTTTGTAATTGTTTTCCTTTTGTTTTTGTCTCAAATAGGAAACCATAATATTATAATGTGAAAATGAGTTAGTTTGTTACTTCATACAACCTTGAGGGTTTAATGACATACATACATACATATCTGTCACGCCTGTCTCCCATTAGGGTAGGCAGAAACAATGGAACGCCAAACGCCAAAAGGGTTTAATGAATCACTTTGAAATTCGATACATACTTAATATAGGGATGGAGAAGAATATAGGCTTTGTTTTATCTCGGTCAGTGCACATATCCCTGTCATGCGGACGTAGTTGCGGGTAAAAGCTAGTGAGTTCGACGAATAGTGTAAATAAAGAATAGACAAAGTTTTTTCAAAAATAATCTGTTTTAAGCGTGTTTTTTTTTTGTTCTTTTCGAAACATAATAGTTTATTGTTTTGCCTCAAAAGCTTAGATAGTCAACTAAAAGTCGCAAATTCCGACCTGCCTAGTACCAAAAATTTATGTCTGGTTTTTTCCAATTCTAGTGATTATAATCACATGTCCACCACACATATTTGTGTGTGTCCAGACTCAAGTAATGCCACTAATATTTCTGGCATTCATAGGCTACGGTATCTTAGGTAGCCGTACGCTTGTTTGCCATCCTAGTGGCATAAAAAAAAACTTGATGTGAGCACCGTATTAAAATATTTGTTGTGTAAGAATTAATATTATTTATCAATTTGATCGACAGGCGGTTACCAGAGTCGTGCCGCGTCACTAATAAAACAATTCCAAGAGTTACAAGATCAAATAGAACAGTCAAATCTGGAACTATCCACTTTCAAATTCTTAGCTGAACAAGAGAAAGCGGCCATTCCAAGGAGAATAGAGGTAATCTATCTGAATATATTCAATGTATTTTATATTATACTAAATAATTATTTTTATTACAATTAACTACCTTCGTAGTGTAGTTATTTAAATTAGGTACGTTTCACCGCCTATAAGATGATCTGCAATCCATTCCAATTGGACTAATTTTGAAAACAAAGTTTATTGAACTTGTTTTATTCAATTGGTTCCGGATTCGGTCATCAAATGTTTAGATCAGATTTCTTTTACCATTTTCCTATTCAAGTTTGAAGACCAAACAATTGGTGTGATTAGGGTTCTTTTTTTTGTAAGTTATGATTAATATTCAATTTCGTTTTTCCTTGCAGTCACTAACGGAAGACGTAAATCGTCAAACGGATCGTGAAAAACAACTGCAGAAACGTTATGGGGAACTGCAAGCGGAGTTGGAGGAACTACATAAAGGGAAAAATAAAGGGACAGAAGTCAAACCGCTCGAGGAATAGTATATATAAGTGGTCTTGATAATGAAGGTTTAGTTCTTAACAAATAATACTGTGAAATAAATATTGAAACCTTATTACATCACATAAAGCAACTAAGAAGTACAAATTCATTTTGACTCTTTATACTTGTATCTGATATAGTATTGTACAAGGGACAGGACACTAAAACCATATAAAAATTGCTAAAACGAAACGAGTTTAATAAAATTATTTACTATGGTAAAGTAAATCTAAAAATCAATATAGTAGAAACTGCTAATGCGTTATCTGTCACCCGCTCAAAGTGTAAGATGCACACGTGAATGTAAATGTTTATCTATGAAGTATGTAATGATATGAAAACCAAATATAGGTTATAAATAAAAATCAAAAAACAACATGGTTAATAAAAAATAAATAAATATAAATTAAAAATGCCATATTTGTCATTTCAGCGTTTTCAGTCTCTCTTGCACGAAATTCAAATTTACAAACACTGATTGTTAAAATAGGTATATTGGAAGTTATAATAGTATCAACATATTTGATACAAAAATACTAATTTTGTATTGTTTTGCATTGAATATGAAAAAAAAAAAACTTTGATGGCATTTCATACTGAACGCATAATATCAATTGTATTCTAATAATAGTATCATGCAACTAGCCAGTCATACTAGATCAACAGGGCCACGCCTAGACTACAATAATTCTTTAAAAATAATGCTTGTTACGCGTGAACTTCAGCAGTAGGAAAACTTATGAAATATACCAACATCTATATGGCATATCGAGATGAAAAATACACCAGATTTTAAGTTAGACCTTCAGGAGCATACCGGTGAAAACCACATCCAATTTGGTGCAGTAGTTTTTGCATGATGGCGGAACAAACATACAGAGAAAATTCCTAAAAATTATTAAGACCCATCATATTAGTTTTTATTTCATTTACAGACATCGTCCAGTTACAAGTTTGTTATGTTTGTAATATAAACATCTTTCACAGGTATGGAGTCGTGGACGATCGCTAGTATATTTTTAAGGAATGATTATGACTATAAATATATGAACTAAACATCTGTTTCTTGATATATTAAATGTTTTAAGAATAATAAAATGACACATTGAAAATAATGGTACTGTATTATTTTATACATAATCGTGTTCTGTCACAAACAAAGAACTTTGAATGAATTATCTTAAAAGATACATTTAGCATTGATTAAAATTATAATAAGATATAAATTATTGTTGACTTATAAATAGTAACATATAATATTGAACACAGGATAGATTATCCAATATGGTTAATATCACAGTATATCAATGTCCAAACCAGCTGGACATTTGTTAGAGGGTTATATTACTCTATCAAATGTATATATTAAATCATAATATCTAAATCAATTACTTAATTATTGATATATTTTCAAAATCATAAAATGCTTTAATGCTAAGATGTTTACTCTTAGATTCAGGTCTGTTATAATTTGTTCATACCAAGGGAATGTAAACACCCTCACCCTCTTTCCAGTTCATCAGTTATGTTTTTTAAGTAGGACAAATTTTAGAAGGCTTAACCCTCATTCCAATAATCAGTCAGTTATAAGAAAAATCGAGTTTTTGCGGTCAAGGCCTCAATGTTGAATTACGACTCCATATAGTTTTGAATTTATGAGACCACTTATTACCTGGTGACGTAAATTCTGAAGTGTTATTACTTTAAAATTATCTCTAACATTAAAATTTTAATTAGATATCATAGCGAAATCGATATTGAAAATTTGAACAAATTCTATAATAGATTTAAATCAAATTTATTATAATTTTAGCTTACGATGGTTCATAAAACAATAATTTCGTGGAATTATCAAATTAAAATATTAGGTTTAGAGTTAAGAGAAATGATATCTCAGAATCGGTCTCGTTATTTATGACCAAAACATATAAATGATTCTATAAATTTGATAGTGTAATACACCTCTATAAGTTTGTTACTGCTAACTACTATCTTCGGAATCACTTTGTATTTGTCTAGATTTTTTATTTTTTCGTACGATCACCGGACTGTCCTCAGGATCCTGGATCTTTTTATAAGACTTCTTAGCTCGTCGTTTCGCTTCTAGAATTTTCTCTGCGATCTCTAATTCTGATATGTCATTAGCTTGAGTCAGTCCGATATGTGAGTCCACACAAAAACTATCCTGAAAACGAAAACGAACGAAGTAAAGATAATAAGAAATCCAACATGTTAGCGGGATTATGTGTAAAAATAGAAAACCATACCATTTCGTAGGTATCGTCCTCGACAAATTGCGAAAATACTTCTTCTTTGTCATATTTTTTTGGCAAATGCGGTATTTTGAAATATCCTTTTACAGGGCTCCTGTAAAGTTTTAAATAATTTTTAATTAAATAGAAGTTGTCGTTCAATATATTGAGCGAGATGTTCTGTCACAATCTTCACTATCTTTGAAGGTTGCCGCGAAAGATTGCTTTCAGAAATAAGACAACCTTGTTTGACTTATATTATTGATATGTGCAATAAGGCAGCTTTATAACGATACTTTTAACAAGATGTATAATAATAATAATAATTTATTTCAAAATAAATGTTACATTTTAAATATAGGTAAAACTCTGCTCCCTAAATAGGTAAATCCTATACTTTAGGATAAGCTTTAGTATATGTGGCGGAAATAAAGTATATTCTCTCTTTCTCTTTTTAAAGAGAAAGAGAGAATATACTTTTTTTTTAAGAGGCGATACATTGATTTGGCAATTGAACAAATTTAGCAATGTTGTACAACAGCATTGTATTGTTAAATAAAACGTAAAATGGAGGAAATCGTTAACAAAAATACGCGTAGATTTGTTTTTGTGTAGTTATCATCATGTATTTTTTTAATGGACGATAATAAGATTGATTGGCGATTTGATGACGGGATATTAAGCGACATGTTGGTGAATGCACAGTATAAACAAGTACGTACTTAACAGATTGCAAATAATGCGCGTGCATATCAGTATGTTGGTCGTCGTGGCCCGCATTGTCATCGCAAATGAAGTCTACGATGCTGCCTGTACTGTCGTCTGTTAGCTCGTCGCCGCTATCTGCACTGCAGTCCGATAACTCCGCTTCGAGCTCTAGGAATTCGCTTTGTTTTCTCTTTTTCTGGAGAGGAAATATTGAAAGTATTTAAATATATGGATTATTTCAAAAATTAATTTAAGATGTTATTTTGTTTCATAGATATAAATCATTGAATACATTATTAATTTGATTTATTGAATAAATACAATAAATAAATGATAGAAATAGTGTACTTATAGTTAATCAATATTTTTTTCATCAAATGTAAACATAAGTACTTTTAATTACTTCACAAAAATTCCAAACATTTTTTAAAACCAACTTTAATGTTAATAGTAAAATATTTTTTATAAACTATACGACTGTATTTATATAATTATATACTAGTATTAAAAGCACATATTAAAATATAGAAAAATAGTTTGAACATAAATATATACAGTATATTCTATTATATTCATGTTACTGTTCATGTCTATAGGCGACGGTTACCACTTTCCATCAGGTGAGCCTTCTGCTTGTTTGCCATTAAAAAAAAATAATATAAACCAAAAATCTGCTAACATAAGTTTTATGGAAATTAGTCCTATTTGCACATTGGTTATACAAATAACTATTTGATAATAATAATATGTAAATAATCGTAGTACTCACTTTTCTGACTTTATGATTTGTTGTAAGTTTATTACTATTTTCTTTCTCAGTTACAGGCACCCATTGAAGTTTACCATTCACAGACATTTTATTTCGACTATGTTTTTCGCCATCAACGAAGTCATCGTCACTATCGTTAAACGATATTTTTCTTTTACGTGTCCATTCGATTCCATTCCTTTGTGATGTATTTAATTTTGATAATGGACTTCTCAATTTACTGTCGCGTTTAAACATTTGTAACATTTCTAAAGTGTCTGTTTTGGAATCTTTACTGTCATAACTATTAAATAATTTTTTAGATGGTTCTAGAGGATTTTGATTCTCTTTCCATGATAAAATCTTCTGTGGCGATAACATGAAATTCACAGTAGCATCGTTATTATAAAAATTACTACTATCCATTTTGTTTGATGTCAAGGACGCCATTACTTTTTCTTGTAAAGTCATCGGTTTGCTGACATTATTATTCAATTTTTGTTTCTTGCTAAAGTATGGTGATGAAGTTGTAAAGTCGTCACTTTCGAAATCTAACTTCCTTTTACTGCTATTTGGAGGGACGTTTGTCTTATTGGGTTTGCTTTTATCATTCTTATTAGTAATTATTACAGGACTTGTTTCCAATTCTGCATCATATACAACTGTATCAGACGAATCACTATCGCTGTCTATTATTATAAGACTTTCTTTTTTCTTTTCCTGCGTCACAAAAGGTGAGCTTCTTTTGGACGTATTTAATATTTTTTTCCTATCGGCCTGTGTAAAAAGTATAGGAGATGTATTTCTTTCTTCTGCTTTTAAAATATCTCTCTGTTCATCTACAGATTTTTGTACAGTAGACTTTTCGTTACTCGACTTATTTATCATTTCTACAAGTTGCGTAATAGTATACATGCTTTTGTTGCTCGTATCTCTAAGACTTGGCGATAGATTTAATTTTGTATTTACATTATTACTTGGACTTTTATTGTGGCTAGTTGATGCTTTTGTAAAGGAGTCCCTTTTAATGCTTAAGTTAAACTTACTAGATTGACTGCAAAGTATTGGCGACGTAGGGAGTACTATAGGTCGTATTCTACCTGACAAAATAGAGGGACTACCAGGATTTTCGAATACCGGATCTTCAACTTCCTTAACATTTTCATTGTCTTTATTTTTTTGCACTTCAACTGGCATACATTCGTTGCTGTCCGAATCTGCAAATATGTCTTCAACACTATCTAATCCAAAGAAACTTAAAACTTCTGTTGTAGCTTTCGGTTTGTCCTCAGTGTCAAGACATTTTGCTTCTTTATCTTTTATTTGCATTTCAGCGATTTCTTCAGGACTACTGTCAGCAAATATATCTTCAAGATCTCCAATTTCAAAGTTTTTATCTGATTCTTTATTACTATTATCTGGAGATTTTAGATTTATAGAAGCTATTAAGTCGTCCCGTTGTTCAAAACTAGAGTTATTATGAGGCTCTGATTTACTATTACTCTTTTCAGGTGTAAATGTGCCTGCGGCAAAATCGCATTGATCGTCTAAACTAAAATCCAACTGTAAATCGAAATTATTTACAGTGTTATCATTGTCTTTATTAAGAATATCCATATTTGGATCAAATATGTTTTTATTTTCATCAACTTGTTTCCTATATTCCAATAGGGAATTTGCATTAACATCATCAATCATATCGAGATCAGGAAATTTAGGTTCTGTCAGAAATCCTAATGATACCGATAATTTATTCTTGTGTTTTTTAATATCTTTTATAAATTTACAATTGCACACACTGCGACAAATATAACACTCTTTCGCCTGGTTAGTATTTTCTAAACTTAAATCAACTAACAAATTGATTAGATGCGTAGGAACATTTTCATTATTCTGAATTCCTAAGTCGTTTATTAGTTTTGTATAACTCTTAGTAGATTTAGTTGCTGTACTGAAAAGAGCTCTGATATCACCGTCTTTTTTACACGGAGATTTTGTTGGGATAACTTTAGTTTTTTTCTTATTTTGTCTTATTTTAGCTGGAGATGGTATCATGGCGTTTTGGATAGCTGTATCTTGCGTATAAAAATCTGTAACAAAAATATGAATCTTTATAAAATCGAATGATGTTTTTTCGGTAGTAAATGTTATAATTCTTACATAAAAATCGTTTATTAACACAAAAAAAAAAAATACTTGGATTCTGTGTAGAAGTTGGAAAATTGAATCTTTTCGCATCACTGTACTGAAGTAAGGATGCTAGGATTTCACTGTCTTTCGAGTGATCAATATTGACAGTTTTTTGTAAAGTTCTCTGCCACTCGAGCCAAGTGTAAAGTTGTAATTCATTTTTGTTTTCAGAACTACTCGCCATTTTTACTTGATCTGAAAGATAAAGAAAAGGATAATTAATAGTTTTAAACAAATAATGTAATATATTAATGCATGTAGTTACCACATGCTTTAAGCATATTGTTTTACGTAAATAAGACTCTAGGTTGGCTAGTTTAGGAATCGAATTTTTCTAAATGGGATTAAATCTGAAAATTGCGAGTTGTGTTCTCAATGTATATTTATTCTGGTTTTTCAGGTTAATAAAAGTAAAGCCAATTTAAAATTATAACTACATTATTAAAGCAAATTGTACCTTTATTCATAATCCAGTACTCTTTAGGTTCAGCGAGTGATGACGTAACACAGAAACCATTTGGATACATTTCACTGAATTCCTCTTCGGTGACCAGGATACCAGTAGTGTCATCCTTGGATGTACTGGAGCTGCTAGAAGATGATGCACGCAATAGCATACTGCGCAGGTCCTTTTGGCCCTGTCAGAATTATTTTCGTTTTGAATAAGGAAAAATATTATGCATTATAATTAAAGACAAGTGCTTGTTATTGAATATTGCTAAGTGACATATGGTGCAACTTTCATCACAATGACAACAGGTGACATCTATGATTATTCCATTTGGCATTACTTATTACATTATTAGTAAGCATATTTATATCGTCGTCGTTTAATTCTCAAATATCAAGATTAATAATACAATTTTAATAAATTTATAATAATTAGTTTTGATCATGTGGTCCCGGCATAGAATAGGCTATCCATGGTTTTCCTGTGGGTGTCGTAAGAAGTGACTAAGGAAATGGTAGAGGCATAGGTAGCAGCGTCCTTCTTAAAACATCTCTAAAAGCCTAACTGTGGTTGCCAACCCGCCTGCCAAGAGTGGCAACTACTGGCATAACTCCCCTGGGAAAGGCTTATGTTCAGTGGCCAATTAACGGCTGAAATGATGATGATGAGTTTGATAGTTTTTTTTTCTATTTATAAATAAAAGTAAATAAAGTATTTTCAAATCTATAAATAAAGGTAAAAAACTATTTCAACTATAATGAGATTTGATGTCTTTGATATTAATCGATACTTTGATGTCAAATATGCGAGTCGAAGAATTGAAGTACACATATTTTTATTTGCATTATATAATAATATATACTATGATACCTTTTTAGATTTTTCAATGACGTCTTTATTTTTGTCCCTCGGTTCATTCTTCTTGGCGACCGTGATGAACATCTTCTGGCACTGCGGCGTGAAGTCGCGCGGGATCAACCGCGGGTTGTTCTTATACAAGCTATTCTTCACCTCTGTCGACTGCATTATCTTCGTATTGAGACCATCTCTTTGTCGCATACAATCTATCAATGTCTGAAATTGTACATTATTACATTTATTATTTATGAAAATTATATCCACACCTATATTAAGTAAATTAAAATAAAATAATTTTAATTAACTATAACCAGTGAAAAGATTGTCTTAAAGATATTGCTTTGATTTACTGTAGGCATTTATTTTGTTCATTGCTGTATGGTTCCGGCATAATATGTGCCACTCCTTCCTTTCCCGTGGGCGTCGTAATTTGTGTCTCTGTGTGGGCAATGTCGAGATTTGAACTTCAGGACGCTTGTCGTGCTGAGCTATAGTGATAAACCACGCCACGAGGCCATATATGATAATGCTCCATATCGTTTCTTTTCATTATCATAACAAGAGAACATGAATGTTTTAATCCTGAGCACAATATATATTCTATAGCAGGCAGGATTACCATTTTATTTTCATCCATTAAAAAAAAAAAACTACCGCTGCCCATGACCATCATTAGAGCTGGTAAGTGCGTTGCTGTCGTTTTATGAAGGAATATGCTTTTAAAGTTTTCGAAGATTTTATAATTAATGAAAATGGAATAGCAGCTCTCCTAATGGTAGTCTGTGCTATCGGTATACTCTGGCGGGGCGCCAGTGAGAGGTGATAAGGAGAGTTTTCAGGGGAAAGGGATATTTAAGTCCCATTACAAACAATCCCTTCCTCCGTTATGCTGGTCAGATGGCTTGTTACTTAAAATGGTCCTCCAGGTTAGCAATAGGAGACTAGAATAAGGGATATTATAAGGAGAGATGATTAACAATCAGTGGATCGTTATAGCGATATTCACCTGATGCTCCCTTCCTTCTGTGACAAGTATGTAAACTTGCCCACCGCGCTCTCTTCCTGTACGTCCGCATCTACAAAAATAAAATTTTAAAAACTGATAACTACTTTTAAAACAAGAAATAATACACAATTTGTTTGTTCACCGACTTCAAAAAGAAAGAGATTTTCAATTGGGTTTTATTTTTTATAATGTTTGTTGTTTCATAACTCCGTTAGTTGTAAAGCAATTTAGAAAATTCTTTTTTTATCTAAAAAGATACAATTACAGATTAGTCCCATAGAAATTTATCAAAATCGGTTTAGTTGTAGTTTTTAAATCAAAATAACTGTTTTTGCCACAATTGAAGTAGTTTTTTTTTGTGGGGTTTTAATTACTAACTCTATATGCGATATACTTAGGTATATCAATATGAATCAATAGGAATGAAGCATATGATCCTCTATCTATGTACATATATGTACATAGATAGAGGATCATATGCTTCATAAAAAGCAGGTCAAATTGTAGATACAATTTTACGCGATAAATAGTTATGAGTGATTCTTTTACTTCTATATTTATTTTGTCTTATAATTTCTGTATCTTTTTGATGCATAAATACTCATTTTATTTATCAAATAATATGTTAAGATACATTTTATGCGTAAGGAATACTGATAAAATATTTTTGACCCGTTTTTGAGGCTCGATGCTCTATGTATATAATCTAAGGATACTTATTACACCCATAATTTATTAAACAATACCCCAAGATACATTGTGTGCATAAGTGTATAGAATATTGATAAAAAATGAGTCCGTAATTTTTCAATCAGGTAATTTTTAAAGTCGAGTAATTTAATAATTAGTTGACAAAACGTTGAGCCATTTTTAAGCGTGGAGACTCCTATGTACATATATAATGTAAGGCGAGATAATACCTCTGCACGAGGCGGACGGGCGAGCGCGAGGAGATGTCGAAGCAGAGGATGAGGTCGACGGCGCCGACGTCGAGCCCCTCCTCGGCGACGCAGGTGGCCACCAGCGCGTTGCACGCGCCCGACACGAACGCGCGCAGCACGCGCAGCTGCTGCCGCTGCGGCACGCCGCCGCCCGCGCCCGCCCTGCCTGCTGCGACAACACACATTTGTAATACTGGACTAGCTAGCGGTCCACATAATGGAGAGTAATAGGGGGGAAAGGGATTGTTAGTAATGGAGACTGAGAATTTACCAGAGGGAGACTTTGTAAAAAAGTCGATTGCTCGGGTACCTCTGTTCCATTCGTGTTTCAACCGTGAAGCAGTTGTGTTTGCATGGCTGTGTTTCGGTTTGAAGGGTGGGATATGGCGTGAATTTACTGGGTACAGAAAAATAACACCTGAGGCCTCGGGAATGGCAACACATGGGGGGTATCATGGGTGAAATAGTATACTCTGTTATGTCCATGGTATTGCTCATGTCTATAGGCGACGGTTACCACTTTCCATCAGGTGGGCCGTCAGCTTGTTTGCCATTCTAAGTTGTATAAAAAAAAAATCCCATTGCTAGCAATACTGGAAACTATCATGGTTAATTCCTGATGAATTCATCATGATGGCCTAACTGACCTGTTTTCATTCTCATCTGTCACCCTTCACTGGTGCTCCGCCAGCGTATCCCGTTAGCGCAGGCGGGGTTACCATACCATTTACACCCATCAAAAAAACAATATAGAGAGTAATAGTCGCCTCTATACTAGTGTTTTCCAATCTTTTTCATGACACGACCTCCCCTATTATAAAAAAATACTACGCCACCCTCGACCCTTCGCTTTTATTTCATGTATTTTGTAATGTTACAAAGATGTTGTAGGTACTTTTTTTATCTGTGCACGGACGAGTCATATTTGTTTTATTTTGTTGTTAATTTGTATTAACACACAAATGTTTTAATTATAATTATTCTGAATAAATCTATCTTTATAACATTGTTTTTTTAACTGAGGTATGTTTGTTTTCGCGACCGCGATTATAGAGGTTTCGCAAACCGCCAGGGGGTCGCAACCCACCCGTTGAAAAACTACTCTATACCATTCCATATAATTATTTGATTGGCATATTTATGGAAGGCTTGTTTTTTTTAAAAAAGACGCATGTAATAAACTCAAACATGTGTTTGCATATATTTTATAGCTCCACTAGGATCCTGGAGTAGGAAGTGATCACATAAGCAAAATTATGTGGTACATATTTATCTAAATTAAGAAGTTTTATCAATTTCATTAGTAAATAAAATATTAAAGGTGTACACTGACCTGATGTACCCTGTCCCACGAACATTTGAGGCACGATGAGTGGTCGGCACTGCAGCAGTAAGCAGTGCACTAAATTCACACTTTCACGGTACTCGCAGAACACTAAATTAATAAACATTACCGGTTATAACATCTCTTACAATAGTATGACCTATATTTTGATAGCTTGAGATAAAAGAGTGAGACAAAAACACATATAACCCTTTCAGACCCAAGATTTTTTTTCTTTCAGATTAAATATATTTTCGTGTTTTGGAGCCGAGCCATCTTGCCGGCACGCACGAGACTACTGCACCACCTAACCGCTAAAATGATTTCTTAGTGGCTGGTTTAGAATCTCACTATCATGTTATTTCAGCTTCGTGCGTAAAAACGATATGGGCGCGGTTTTAGAATTTTTTAAAGTTACAACTCACGCCCGTATAGTTCAGGTCTGAAAGGGATAATATGGGGACTATTAGGTATCTATTCTATATAACAATACTAAGTACAGCTGAATGTATGAATGTAAATACAATGAATGAATTGTGGATCATATGATCTACAATATATATATAGGCATGTATTTATCTCACTATAATCATTTATTTGTTGTTTATACTAAAAATAACAATGAAACCGTTTAGTGAATAAAACAAACATATTCTTTAAACCGATTCTAAAAATCACTATAATCTATACTTTCCATGAATATATAAGCTAATATTTAACACAAGATAAAAAATTACTACAGGCAAAGTTGTGGGAAAACAGCTAGTAAAAATAATTAGCAGGTGCTAAAATAGTAAGTAAAAATTAAAACTTTTTTTTTTTTGCTAAATAAATAAATGGTGTAAATGTAAGACGCTGAACAAACCTATAGCTCTAGTATCCTGGCCATTCCGTTTGGCTTTAGTAAAGTGCTCTATCATGATTTCCTTCAACTTGTCAAACTTGGGATGTCCGAAACACAAGTTTTTTGGTAACTGAAATCAAAAGGAAAGTATATATAATACTTATTACTTAATTTATAGAATTTTTAATTTATTTTTTATTTTATTTTTAGCATAGTATTTTTTGTTATATTGTGAATAAAAGACTACGCGATTAATTGAGCTTTAGATCGGTAATACTTGTATATGTATTACCTATAGAAATTAAATATTATTAAATTATTATAATTAAAAATATTATCTTATACTAAAACATCAATTATGCAATAAATCTTTGCAACGAGAGTCCGCCTGTGTACTATGTAATTTTTTTCTCTTTAAAATATATATATTTTTTAACATTAAAGCTTATATAAAGAAACAAAAAAATATTATTGGAAGGAAAATACGATATGAAGGAAAACAAATGCGATTATAATAAAATATGACAGTACCTCAGGTATAGTACCGTCGGGTAATATACTCCTGTCTAACGACAATGGGTTGACTCCAAGGTCGTCTCGGAGTCTCTCGAGCAGCATCGTGAGACGGTCGTCAGCCTGCATCCACGACTTCTCTGGATGTTCATCGAAGAAGTTCAGGAACACTCGAGAACCATGTTTGATTAGTAATTCCAGACCATGGTACAGAGTAATTAGCAATGTGAAGTCTTTCATGATGTTGTTATGTTGTGGATGCCTGAAATATTTTCTTTTTGTTTTTTATGGGCCCAAATAGAAAAGAATGGATAAAGATAAGAGGCTTCACTTCCCTTATTTCTAGAGTAATCAAACTACTGTGACCAAATGATTTGTCAGTAGTTGCCATGCTTGGCAGGCGGTTTGGGAACCGCAGTTAAGCTTTGGTGATGTTTTAAGAGGGACGCTGCTGCCCATCTTTCGACAATTAAGTTCCCTTAGTCGCCTTTTACGACACCCACGTGAAAAGAAGCGAATAATTGTAGATTTAGAACCTAATTTAAAATGGCTATTCTTATACCACAAGGATAGTAATAATTTCATGAAGTCTAATATCTGCAGACTTATTAAACTTACCTTTGTCCCCTTTCTTTGCTTTGAAATTCTTTGTATAGCATTACTATTCGACCCTTAGACATATTACCTAAATTTTGTGAGAGTATATTATATTGTTTCAATCTGCGAGCATAACCATCTAAAATCTGGAAAAGAAATTTAATTAGTTTAAAGAAATTAAACAAATAGCTATAACAATACAGTGAATTAAGGAATATTTTATGCGTCTATATTTTTTGTTGGCATGTTACACGATTATGTCACCAATTATGAACCTGAATTTGATAATTCTCTTTTCAATAAACAGGGTTTACTCTCATGTTAGCCTCATATTATTATAACAAATGATGCTGCTGTTTTTCTTGGTCTAGTAAAATCGTGCCTGATGTGAAGGAGAAATATACTTGTTGACACAACATTTTGTTCTAAATTCAAATATTTTAAAAATCAAATGTGTTAATAAATATCTCGCCAATAATTGAGGTGTTTTGTCACGATTGATGTTACTAATAACTAAGGTTAATGATGATTAAATTAGAGAAAAAAAAAGATATTTTATTATTTTGTTTGTGTATTTTGTTCATACGATCAGATTAATAATTTTTATAAAACTATTAATAGTTATGAAGGAGTTACCTCAACATACTGTTGCCGTAGCTGAGACAATTCGGGGCCCAGTTGAATGACTACAGTGTTTATTTTGCGGGAGTGACTGTATGGAGCCACATCAATACAGTTCTCTGATCTTAACTCGAGGTGAGCAATATGCAGATTCTTTACTACCTGTACATGATTAAAATAAAAATATATTTAAAAAATAAACTTAATTAGCTTATAGTTACTTTTACAAGTAAATCAACATATTATTGGTAATGAAATAAAAATCTAAAATTAATTAAATAATAATATTAAACTTAAAATTAAACAGGCCTAGTTAGTGCATAGAATCATTTAGATAAATAGTTATAAAGAAATTACACACATTAACAACATCATCCACTCTACTGCCTGGCGTGGCAGACAAAGCCAGCATTCTATATGTCTTGTGTCCCATTTCAGTGAGGGTGGACACTATCTGGCAATAGGCATAGTTCCCTCTTGCCCTGTGTGCTTCATCAATTACAAGACACCGGATTTTATCTCCAGGACATATTCCAGATTTGATATCATTGTAAATAACTTGGGGTGTCGCAAAGAATACCCTCTTACTTTGCCAATGTATTTTTCTGGTATTTACTTGCATGTGCCCTGAAAAATAAATTAACTAATTATTAGGACATATGTCCCGATTTATAATCTTGAAATCAAATTATTTAAAACATCTTTTTCATAATCAACACAGCTATGGAAAAGCCCTGGTTTTGCTAAGCTTGATGTAGGAAATTTATTTCATACATTACCAATTTCATAAATCAGAAGTAATTGCAAATATATACAGTAAAGACCAGTGGATGATTTCTTATATTTTAGAGATTAATTCACAGAATTAAAGATATATAAATGATAAATTAGTGACATTTGTAAATCAAAATAGATTAAAAATAAATATTTGATTTTTATTATTGTAAATCAAAATAGATCTTATTATTACATAGCCATGGGGGAGGCTACTATAAGGTACATCATTTATTTTCATATAATTTTATTTAAAACAAAAATTTTAGTACAATTTACCTGTCATCTCTATTGTATCATTGGGAGGTATAGCTATAATGTTATAGCATGCATCTATCTGTTGAGCTACAAGCGGCCTGGTGGGGGCTGTGAATATAATCTTTCCAAGTGGATACCACCTGTAGAAATTGTACATAATAACAGCTGCTATAAATGTCTTTCCCAATCCTGTTGGCAGACTGACCTGCAATTATAAAATGTTGTATTGAATATTCAATTTGGCTTCAATTTATCAATTTTGTATTTTATTATAACAATGCAGAATTATAAAATTATATGAGTACATTCTTTTTTTACATTTCTCCTATATGACAGAGTAAAAATAAATGTTTATCACTTATTTTCATTTCCAGGATATTGTAAAAGGTAATTAAGGGAACAAAGTACAAATGCACACAAATACACATGCGCAAGAAGAAAATATTGATATAAAACCATATAACAATACATAGGGATTTTATTTATTTACTCTTATAATAGTAGTAAGAACAGTATTAATTACACTATAATATTATAAAAGTATAAAATTTGGAGCATTTTGTGCTTCATTAGTATTATAATATATATTTATTACTAAAGAAAACTCTTTGAGGCAAAATTAATAGGTTCTTAAGAAAAGGTTTACAGATATCTGTAATTTTTTTCTCTATATTTATTGATTTTAATCTTTATTTCTTTAGTGATATAACTGACAGTTTTTTGCTAAATGCAGTTATAAAATACAAAAATCTAAAGATATGTCTAATATTACTTTTAAAGGAAAAAAAATAAATATAATAAGCAGCTTACTAGTGTATTTTGTAAGATGGCAGCTTTAATAATATTGAACTGATAATCTCTAATGGGATAATTGGTGGGATAAATCCATGTCTTGCCTGTAAGTTTGTCATATCCATTAAGTTCCTCATCGCAGCAAAGTGCACTGGAAACATAAATATAATAGGATCAATAAAAAAGCAATTATTCTAAACGAAGACATTTGTACGGAAGACATAGGCGACGGTTACCACTTTTCATCAAGTGAACCGCCAGCTTGTTTGTCATTCCAAGTAGCAAAAAAGAAAAAAAAATAAATATAAAAATTTTGCAGAAATTTCTGAATATACTTCATATATAACATACCTAACGTTTAGTCCACTCTTGTTAAGGGAATTATTCCCATCAGCGATAGGAATCTTGGGATTTTCCCTAAAGGAAGAATTCTCAAAATTTGCCAGAAACGAGGAATCATCAAACACTTCATCTTCGTCGTCGAGATTGTATATCGATTTACTTGTGCCAGGAATATTATTCATATTATTAACTTTACATATTACAAAATTTTATTTAACACACCACAATCAGTTCATTTTAATTTAAATATTACATGATAAGAAACATTCATTTGGCACATAATTTTTAGTATTTAAAAGCTTCAAAATCATTCCATTTGTATTTATTTGCACTTTTCATAATATCTAAACTTAGTACCTAATACACTAACTAGGTATGTTGTGGTTAATTTTTATTAGGTAGTAAGTTACGTGTAAAATATGATAGGAGGGAAATAAAATCAAAATAAATAAAAAATAAATAAGCAGAAATTTTAGGTTATAATCGTTCAAAAACAATAAATATACTTTTAAAGTAAAATTTCAACAATCAAATAACTTTAAACAAATATCAAATAATTCTTCAATAATTTTATTCAAGTTTAAGTTACTAAAAAGTCAATGACTACATTGCTTAATTTGATTATTTAAAGCAATTTAAATTATTTTTAACATTTTTTATGGCATAAATATTTATATTTATGAACATACCTTTCAATTACGTCAATGTGACAATCATTGTCATTGTCATTATCACATGGTAGGTACAAAATGCAGCAAAACAAAAATTTCAAAACAAGTTTCTCGTTTCTTACAATAATTTTGATTTGTTTTCTTTTTCCATTTTTGTATCAAAATTGACATTTAGAAATTTACTGAATCAAGAGTGTGGTTTTTAATAAACAATTTCAAATTAGAGTGGCACTGGCAATATAATTTAAATGGAACTAGAAGACGGGTTGGATGACTTATTAGCAAACATCGAGGAACCGACTCCTCCGAAACTGATTAAATCTAGTGAAAATGATACTAACATCGAATTGCCTGGTATATTATTGTATAACGTTGGATATTCATGAAAATTTTGTTTCAGAAATTACTACCAACACTTAATATGTATTATTTATTTACCTTGATTGCGTTCTTATGACTGTGTTATATGCACTACCCATTAATGCACTACACATACCTATCTATATGCATATACAAACAATTCTATTTTGATCCTTATCAGAGATACAAAATCTAATATTAGCTTATAACTACAATTTTATTTGTAATGGTGACAAGAAAAACCAGTAAGTTTGATTTACAAATTATTGAACCGATTTTGATAAAAAAAATATTTTCAATCAATAAATATATTTTTTCAGATAAAACAATTTTCCAAATTGGTTTATAATTGACAGAGTTATGATGTATTAAACATTAAAATAATGACCTAATTGTGAACCTCCTTTTTTGAGTTAGTTAAAAATGTCTGATTATCTTATCAAATAATGTAAATCCTTTTAGAATAATAAATACAAAATCTGTGTTTCAATTTTATATAGATATGAAATTAATAGATACATAGATGCCTTGAATGTTATATTTATATATCAATCTATAATCACAATGATCAAACATTTCTGTGATGCTCACTATGCTGTTCATGTCAGTAGGTCATTCTTACCTTTCTCTGTCAAATGCTCCATCAGCTTTAGGACTGCCATTATAAGGTACAATAATGATAGGTAACAATGTGTAATTTCTCTTACCAGTGTAAAAAGAAATCTCTTTTCCAGTTATATATTGCTATCTTAGATCATAATTATTATATACTCCTTTTATGTATATAATGAGAATATGTATAATAATGTATATTTATTTCAGGAACTTCTAAAGACATTTTTAAACCAGCTACATCTAAAACACATTGTGTTTTGGTGAATCAGAAACAGGTAAATAAAAGTTCATATTTATTATCATGTTAATCAGGTAGGAGGTGAACATTTTTTACAGTATATTTTTTTTAACCTTCTCATTCTATTACACTTTTGGGCAAAAGTCTTCCTTAATTCCTTCCAAGATTTCTTGTATTATTATTTAATAATAGCTTTATAATGTGGACAACATATTTACTGATTAAAATTTCTAAACTCATAGTTAACATCATGTAAATTACCGACTATAAATTTAGGTATTTTGTGCCATAACTTTTTAATGTATTTTAGTAATATAGGGACTAGAAATAAGGACATAAAAAATGGTACAATGTTTTACTGACATTTTTATTTTCTGTATTAAAAATAACAACAGTCTTAAACTTAATAATTATTAAATGGTGTGAACTTAAATATCCTAGGCTAATAAAAGTTATCCACTTACATATTACAAGTGACTCTACAATTGGTTTACAACAATGATTATGTTCAAAGTGAAGTGTTGTAAAAAAAAGAATATATGTAAAAAGTAATGAATAAGATGTATTGATGTCTAAAAATTTGTGTATTTATGTACATTTGAAAGATGTGTATGAGTGTGTTGACACATCCATTCTCAATGATAATGATATCCTTATTTATAAAATAAACTCTTATTTCATTTTGTATATATAATAATTTTTAATTAGTTGTTAACTTAGTTTTTATAATCATAAAAACTATACTTTCAAACTTAAAATAATTTTAATGACAGTTACACAACCCCAATTTGAGTTTAAAGTAAGTGTAAATAATTGTATGTGTATTTAATATGATTATGTCTTTTAGCGAGGGAATCCTTTATTAAAATTCATAACCAGTGTACCTTGGGAATATGATGACATTATACCAGATTATGAAGTTGGTAAAACTATATGCCTGTTGTTCCTGTCTTTAAGATATCACAACTTAAATCCAGATTATATTCATAATAGATTAAAAGAATTAGGCAAGAAGTATGAACTCCGAGTACTATTGGTACAGGTATGTCTATGATAAATGTTGCTATGGTACATAGGTCACATTGTCCAGATTCAGCAAAATTTGCTTGCTTGAATATTTTTATATTTCAAATTAGAATATTGTTTGTGACATTATTTTATTATATAGTATAATTTAAACTTATATATATATAGCCTATACCAAGACCACACACAAGTTGGTTCTATAACCAAGGGGTGGTTATATCTTTCTTGTAGGTGTCGCAAGAGACGACTAAGCGAGGGCAAGGCCTGGCAGCAGTGTTTCACTTAAAATGTCTCTAAAGCCTAACTGCGGATACAAATCCGCCTGCCAAGTGTGGCAACTACTAGCAACCCCCCCAATTGGGAGAGGCTTATGTTCAGCAGTGAAAAGTTAACGGCTATTATGATGATGATGAAACTTTTTTTGATACCACTGAGGTAGCAAACAAGCATACGCCCCACCTGATGGTAAGCGGTTACAAAGATAAGGTAGTTATAAATATTCGAGCAAGGGTAAACTTATCTCTGAAAAAGTTCTCTTTTTTTATTAAGCCAATCCAATTTATTGCACTATTATATATAGGTAAATGAAATCATGGATAAAAAGTTGTAGATAACAAAGTTTTACTGAATGGACCATGCGCATAGCTTAGAAAACTACTTATTATATCTAGAAATAAGTCAATTTTATTGAAATCCAAAAATCGAAAATATGCGATCGTTGTAAATTAAACATGTACGCAAATTATCGTCCTATGCCTAGTATCGTCGTAGCATTTTTTTAATGGATGATAATGGAATGATAACCTCGCCTGCGCTAATAGTATACGCTGGCGGGGCACCAGTGAGGAATGATAAGTGAGAATGAAAAGGCAGGTCAGTTATCCCATCGTGATGAATACACCAGGAATTCAGCATGATGGTTTTCAGTGAGGACCACATGAAGATCGACCTGACCGGGTATATTGCTAGCATTGCGTCTAATAGTCCGCATTACTAACAATCCCTTTCCCCCTTGTTGTAGTATTAGAATTAAGGATTTATTTTCTGTTATACTATTTATGTGTGTATTTAAAAGAGAGAGCATACTGCATATAATATGTGTATCCATTTTCTCTTTTCAACCGATCTAAAAGAAAGAGGTTCTCAATTTGAATATATTTTGTTTTGTTCGTTGCCTAAATTCCATCAGTTATAAACCGATTTGGAAAAATCTTTTTTTAACTGAAAGAATATACGAACAGATTGGCCATATAGAAATTTTATTAAAATCGGTTTAAGTTTAGTTTTTGGATTAAAATAACTGGGTTTGTCACAATTGCAGTCAGTTTTTTTTGGGCACAATTTTAAATTGTTTAAATAGAATTTTAATCGTGGGACATTATCAGAATATGCACTTATTTAAACATAGCATAAATTTGTTTTGGTATATAGGTAGATTTGAAAGATCCACACGTTCCATTGAAGAATTTAACTAGGATATGTCTTCTGACAGACATGACTCTCATGTTGGCGTGGAGTCCAGAGGAAGCTGCCAGAATTATAGAAAACTACAAAATATATGAGAACAAACCGCCAGACAGGATTATGGAAAAAATTGAGAATGATCCGCATCAAAAGGTTAGTTAGTTTAGTAGCACAACTTAGTTCTTGTAATACAAGCAAGTTTTTGATAAAGCAGGTAGACATGTATTGTTTAGTTTAGATGAAAAATAAAGGTATGTAAGTTTAATAATAAAAATAAGGTAAGGTAAATGTACGTTTAAATAAAATATAAAAGTGAAAACGTGGAACATATCACTTTGTACTCGTATGTGCTATCTAGAGAACACCATATTATATTGTCATTATTATATTGACAATCAATCTGTCTATAGGACACTGTAGAAGGAATTTCGCTACAAATATTAGCTACATTTTTCTTTGATTGTATGCAACACTTTTGAGGTTATTAGTTGATTTTATGGAAGTCGCGTCGTAACTATGTTTCCCTGTACAGCGACTACTTGAACAGTCTTCTGTAATGATTATCGGGTTTTCAGTTTCATAAGTTTTTTCCAAGAGACTACAGCATGGGGTTCTTCAAAATGGCAGTTAAAAGTTTTCGTCAGATTTTGCAACGTAATTGTATGCCTGATTCGCTTTCCAAGAGGCTGTATGTATGATTGATTACCACTGTCGATGAATGATGGGAATTGAGGGAAGAATAACGATGGTCTAGATAACTCGGGATAAGTAGACTTTATTTATTATTGAATTGTAGAATCTGGCGTGTATATGCTAAAATTTATAGTTTCTTAATTAGATTTCAGACTAATGAACGGCAATGCTGACTTATAGATGTAATGTTTTTCACAAAAAAACATCAGCTTGTTTTCTATTCCAGATAATTAACGCTCTGTCATCAATTAAACCAGTAAACAAAACAGATGCTATGACACTGATAACAACATTTGGCACGTTAGAGAATATCATAAAAGTGTCAGAGCGAAGGCTCGCCGAGTGCCCAGGAATAGGGGCTACTAAAGCAAAGAAACTTTACAAGGCATTACATGAACCTTTTTTGAAAAGGGGAAATTTAAATAAGGATAAAGAAACAAAAAGCCAGGAATTTGATGTAGAAATCAGTGAAGCAGACATCGCGTCGCTTGATAAGCAAGTACAGAGTGAATAGTGTATTGATAGAATAAAACAATAATTTTAAGTAGTAACTAATATTGTCGTTTTTTTTTTAATTTTCCTATCTATTGCCTCTCTAGGGTACGTACTTTTCAGATTTATATGTCACATTTCTAACCGAAACACTATCATACAAGCACAACAGTTTAATGGCAGAAAAACGAGTGTTACAGAGATATCAATGCTGACTGACTTTTGAATGGAATTTTCCTCTGGTTAAAATTAAATGTACTTTTTAAAAAAAAGTAAAACCAATTTCAATTTGAAATTTATAAATAGAAATAAACAACACGCTTCATCAGTGAGATTTATAATAGGCAGCGTACGTTTGCTAGCCGTGTTTTTCAAGATTCGTAGTGTCATGCTGATAAAAAAGGCGGTAAAATGGAATGGACCATTTTAAAACTTGTACAGAATTATGAATGAAAATAAGTGCGTATAATTAATTTTAGAGGTAAAATAGCTGGGGAATAGTATCAGATAGTAACTTAATCGTTGTAAGTAATCGTTTTATAAGTTTATTTTAATGACATTAGGTTTAGGTAGTGAGGCAGAGACGAGTTAAGTAATTAATTGAACAACCTCAATATTAATTTTGTTGCGTAAAAATTTCCTGACGTTTGTATAAGTAACCATATAATTTTAATAAAATTACATAGTTTAGTATTAGTCGTGCTCGCAGCATCAGTTATGCTGCGAATTACTGCATATATTCACAAAAAATGTATCCTATATTTATATTGATTGGCCCAGATACAAGTTGTCGACACATCAAATAATTATTATTAAAATCTATACAGTTTTGCATAATATGTGTACAAACATGCGTATACTTACTGTAGTACAAATGTACAAATACTTGCATACTCAGCTTACCTAGTATGTGTTCTCAAGTTTATGTTATTCTATAACAAGTGGACGATATTTCCTTCCGAACGGTCAAGGATTTCGAATTAAATTAGTTTTTTATTGCATCGCGTCGCTTCTAATCCAAGAAGGCTCGCTGCGACCACGGCTGCAGGCCTGCAGCGTGCGTCGAACGGGGTTCAAAACAAAACAACAGCCACCAGCGCTCAACCGGCTTCCCTCGCGGTTGGACGCGCGTCGCTTACTTGCCGCCGCACTTGCTTACTAGCGTAGCGCTAAAAAACTTTAGGCGGGAATTTTTTTTTCTTAAAAATAAAGTTAATGTGAAGGAACCTAATTTATTCTGCTATACGTTAATTAGTATGAATTAACAGTTTTTTTTAGATATTTTTACGATTTTTGAGCTTTAATGTATCTAATTAATTAACTAAATAATTACGTTGCCTTAATTTGGTCATCTTTTAATGTGACTTACAGTGACTGAAACATTTGTGATTTCAAACTGTGTTGTGGATTTCTGTTGATCCTAAGGATATAAAGTGTGAACACGAAAACAAAGAGGTGTTGTGTTGACTTTTTTTAATAGAGAGTAAAAAAAAGTTTCTTGGAAATTAGCTACCTATGGTGAGTGTATTATCGTGTTATTTGTTTGATATTTATTCATAGTTTTATTTAACTTTATTAAATGCATACCTACGTATGAAAATGTCAGTATATAGTTATTAGGTAGTTAATTGAACTTCTAATACTATTAATATTTTTATTATCAAGGATGCAAAGTAATATCTAGTATTTCTACACATTTATTTTATTGTATCTTTTGATAAGTATATATGCATCTGTTAATGTATTTATTAATTCAGGATAACGATGTGATAGCCTAGGTAAATAGGTATTATACCTAACTTGATTTTCGTATTATTATCACAAGAGTGCTTATGGCTTACATTTATTACAGACACGTTTTTCAAATCTCAAATAATTGATAATTATGATAATAAACGTTTCTTTGATAAGCAAAGGTTTGTATAGTTTCTATTATACATAACTACTTACAATATTGTATTAAACAATTTATCCCTTTTTCACTTGCTATAGTTGTGGCAATGAAGATGTAGCTCATACATGTAACTGAAAGAATTGAGAGAAATCTCCTCTCATTCCCTCCTTGAAGAGATTTGATGACTATTTACCACAGGTTCTAAAGAAAATTACTCCACAACAAAAAGTATCTGAGTGATGTTTTCTGGAAGATCTCTACGAAGTAAATATTAGATCAATGAGTTATTAAATTATTTTAAAATATAGGTAACACTATATGCATAACTATTCTTTAATGTTTTATTAAAAACCTCATTAATGTGAGTAATTTCAACTAATTAACGCGTTTAGAATATAATAGCAGAAGCTTGAAACGGTGCTGTGGATTGAGAAAAAAGCATTATAAAAAGTTGATGAGAATACATCCGGTTCTCATTGCTCCAGGAACCCAATTCTGATAGATAATTTATAAAATGATTGAGAACAATCACAATAGAATGTCGATAAACTAATTTATTAAGCGTATAATTTGTAAAACTAACCGTTCATGACATTACTTCCACAGTTTTACATAATTCATGTGTGTCGTACACAAATTAAAAAATGGTTTAAATTGTTACTCTATGACCATTCTATTGACACCTACATTTCGAGCATAGACATTTGGAGCATTGAGCCCCAAAAGTCCTCTTGAATTGTCTTAACCTATCCATTCGCGCTAATGAAATGCAAAATGACCGTCCTACGTTCAAATATCCCATTTGCGATGTCGTAAAAACTACGACTACTAATTTAGTCGACACGACACCCGCGCAGAAATGTCGCCGATTACCAATTTGTATAATAATATTATAATGATTTAAGATTTTGAAAAAAGCAATAAGTAATAGGTATCTATTAGGAAATAATAAATTTTATTAATTAAGAATTAAAATATGTTGATTCTTTAAGACTAAGTAGTTTGAACAATGTGCAACACAACTCCCATAATGTTTTCCTTTTTCTTAGATTATTAATAAAGATTTATATCCAAATATGTAGTTAAGTAAAGATGGCAAAACGGGGTATTTGTTTATCATATTAAGAAAATGTATCAAGAGATTAGTAGGATTATCAGTTATTTTATAGATATAGTGAAGAAATCTAAATCGGGGCCTGAGATAAAAGAGTATCTGTTGAGTTTCTTACGGGCTCTTATACATAACAAATTTCCGAATCCTGCGTTCATGAAAAATAACGATTTACAAGTGATTCGAAACAAGTCTACCTATTTGAATAAAGATGATTTGAATTTCTAAATTTCGGTTGATAACAACTGTTTATGTTATCCATGCAATCATTTTATAAAACTACTAGCGATCCGGCCCGCCTTCGCATGGGTTGATAGAATTTTTGAATATAATATATAGCCTATTATTCGCTGATAATGTTGTTTTTTATAGGTGAAAATATTTTAATAATCGGTTGAGTAATTTTTGAATTCATTAATTACGAACAAACAAATCTTTCATCTTTAATTATAGTATAGCTATAGACTTACACTCTTATTCATAAAAACGTCAAACGCCTCATAAACCTACTTTAGCTATTGAACTGTTTTGTCTTTTGTGATACATTCCCAATTTGAAATAAAGTGATAAAACATTTCAATAGCTAAAATAGATTTGTAGTAGATATAAATTTTTATGAATAAGAGGGTTAGTATTTTATTTATTTCTCCAGCCAATGTTTTTTTGTCTTTCATGTTTCAAATAACCATTTGCAACATACATACGTTAATCACAATAATTGTGTGGTGTCACATTTAAGCAAATTTAGTAAATTTCATTAAACGACTCTGATCAAGATCGAAACCAAATTCGAATGTATTTTTTGTTTGTTACCTCTTAACTATAAAATTCAATTGTAAACCGATTGGTTGGTCCTATAGAAATTTTATCAAAATTGGTTTTGTAGTTTAGTTTTTAAACCAAAATAACTGCTTTTGGCACAACTGAAGTCAGTTATTTTTGTGGGACACGATCTTTAATTATATACCGATCACTTGGAAGAAGTTGCGAGCATAGGTAATAAACCTTCAAGGTTTTATTTCACATTTCTTCTAAAGTGGTCTCTGTATGAAAACATAAATCTTGTAAACAAAGTTAAAGCTACAAAATAGCCGGTTATTACTTATTACATAGTTAGCCTACTCTACAGAGTAATAATACAGTTGTAATTTCATACTATAGATAAAAAATAATGGCATGTTACTATGCCTCGGCTGCTGCGCTGAAGACCCTATTTATTTAAAACTGCGATCAACAGGTGAATGTGGCACGTGCCTCGTACCAGGTGGGATTGCCGTTTTTTTGTCTCATTTCCTTAGCTAAGTTATATATTACACTCTCATATATATATGGTGATTGATGATTATACAGTTATAAATGCGATGCATGGACGAAAAGTGATCACACTAGTTTATTCCTAAGCTATACTAGATATTATTAAAGTATAAAATGATAATTCTGTACCATTATTGTGTATTGAGTTTTTTTTAAGTAAAAACTTTAGATACTAGAGGGCGCCTAGCCCATACAAGTAGTAGTAGTATATTAGTTTCAATCACTGATACATTTTTCGATTTATGCTCTTATAATTTTGTAATCTTATGTCTCACTTAACAGATAACAAATAAATAAACTGACTTTACATTGAACAACTGACTTTCACATTTATGTCCTTATTTTATTTTAGCAAATAAATGTTAAAATATGAAAATATTATTCCAATAATTATCAAGTGATTGAAAAATTTCCAAGCAAGTTTTCATATACCTACTGTTTTAGATACATTATAAATATAGCCAAAGTAAAACAAACAAATATTGTTCGAACACTCTACTAGATAGATATTGGAATATTAAAAAAAAAATACTATCTTAGTGTGTCCAATCCGAAGTTACTAATTATAGTTTAAAATAGACTATGTTACAAATCAAATTGGTTAATGGGTTAGATATAATGTCATATATTTGATAGTGTAATATGCCCTAAGACTGCTGATAGTTCGTTGTAATAATGACGATTGTTTTACTTGTTATGCCATAGGTGTATGATAATAACCAGATGTGAAACACCGACTATTTGAAACAGCAGCTTACGAATATTGCATTATGAAATAGATAATTGGTAAACATATAAATTTAATGTAAAGTAACTTTCAAATGGAAATACTATTGCACTTGGTTCTTTCTGCAATTATTACTACTAGAAACGAAATACAAATAAAAGATATTTTTAAAAGTTTTCCCGAACATTTTTACAAAATATCGATTCTATCGTAGTGAGTGGCAAGAGCTCCACCGACAAGAGCGCAGCTCTTAAATGGATAGATAGATAGATCGATTCTATATTGTGAAAATGTAAATATAGAATTAGTGTCACGTGTGCGAGTGCATTCTGGGTGGCCAAAATAATTATCACATTGATCAAGATAATTAATTATCCTTTATGTTTTGCGGGTTTTCCTGAACCATTAATATGATCGTCTATAACATATTTTACAAACTGCTCAATTATTCGACTCTATGTAATCAGAAAGTTATTTTTAGTAAAAGTGCATACTACGGTGACTTCCATTTTTCAATCGACTTTGTATTTTTTTTTTGTTTGTTGCCTCATAATTTTGTCAGTTGTGATCTGATTTGGAATTCTTTTTTTTTCTGAAAGGATACACACACATGAAACAATAAGGATAGGATATACAGATTGGTTCAATAATTTTTTTATTAAAATCGGTTCAGTAGTTTTTAAATCAAAATAACGGGTTTTATTTCAATTGAAGTCTGTTTTTTTTGTTGTGGAACACAATTTAATTTGAAATTATTCTCGAGGTATTTCTTAGATTTTATATTTTATACTTAATCTTGTTCAGGTAAAATAATTTATGGTACTGCTGGTTTTTCTCAACAATCGACTTCATAGCCAGTATTTTGCAAGTTATACATAGTCACATAATTAAAGTCCTTTGAACAGTTTTCAGAAATAGCGCTTCTGGTAATTAATATTTGGTTAGTCAAGGCATAGGTCAATAACATATTTACTTTTTTATGTCCAAGATAATTATCATTATTATATCATTGTGGGTTTCCCCTGACATTTAATTTGTCAGTAAAATATTTGACTCTACATAGTCCGAAAGTAATTTCAGTATATATTGTGCTATGCTACTTTCATTATAAGTGTATTTTTTTTGTAATATTCCAATACTGAATACGATATAGTGAATGCAATTTAATATTCGAATATGAATGATACTGTCACCCATTACTGCTCAGTGCTATAATTATATAATTTTGAAAAATATGAATTGACATAACATAGACAGATGAATGAAACAAAACTAGAATGCTATGTTTAATGTTTATTATAAAACTACTATATTTCCACTACCTGTACCTCTACTACAACAAATACTGCAATTAGAAGCAATAGTATAGAATCCTAAAAACCGCGAAGTTTATATCATCATCATCATCATCAGCCTTTAACTGTCCACTGCTGAACATAAGTCTTCTCTTAGGGGGTTTTGTCAGTAATTGC